GCTGTTTCTCTGTGTGATGACACTCAGACACAGGAGGTGGCGCTGTTGCACCAACGCTGCACAACAAAAACTGAACAAACCACTAAGCAGTGTTCACGTAGAAGTCAAACACTGCTCAGCTGTATTCCTGTGATTTGTTATCTCCACTAATAAATATAACTAATGTCATTTGAAAGCTGCACAGCCTTTTCTGAGTCATACACATGTAGAATAAAACATATATACGTGTTATTTGTGCAAAAGGTTCAGGTTAATATGTATAAAACAAATAAAGACTGAAACAGGGACTTAAATTAAGCATACCTCACTCTATTATCACAATGCCCAATTTAATTTCTTTATTGTTTGCCTTTTTTGATGTGATGCCAACCTGTTGTTCTCTCCATTTGTATGATGACAGTATTTATCAAGCGCTTCAGGCTTTGCAAAGTGTTCTGACAGACGAAGCAAAAACACAGAAGGTAGAATACCAACAGGCAGCTAAACATTAACGACAGTTGAATTGATTTTTTGGGGTCTTGGGTTACAATTCCATTTTGTGTTTTCTTTTGCAAGGAGGCTTTTCTCATTACCACATAAATAATTAAAAAGAAAGCTGTACGCTCGATTGATTTCTTGTTTTTGCTTTTAGAGCCTGATTCTAAAAGACACCTCCAAGTACGGCACGTTCGTCAACGGCGAGCGTCTCACGGCACCGGTGAACATCAAGTCTGGAGACGAAGTTACGTTTGGGGTTTTTCACAGCAAATTCAGGTTCGTAGCAGAAAACACAACCTGGTTAGTTTTGTTTATGTTGCATTTTTATTCAGTATAACACAGTTGTAATGCCAAAAAAACTAAAAAGGCAAAAACCAGAGTAGAATTTCTTTAATTATGTGTTTAAAAGATTCAAAATGTGAAAAATGAACACAGATGATACAAAATACTGGAAAAATAAGGGATTCCACGTGCTACAGATGGGCTGTTTGACTGCACATATTTACATTTTTACACACTCACTCCTCTGTACGTTAACTCTAGAAAGATAGTTTGACAATTTTTGATATTACATTGATCAAGTAATTTTTTTCCTCTCAGTCTCTGGCAGAGTTTTAAATGAGGCATGTCGAATAAAAATGGATTTTGATGAAATATCACAATATTAGGCTTAGATTTGATTGTTTTTTCTTGATTAAGAAGCACAATTTGCTCCAGTACTATCGAAACTATTGAACTAGTACTATTTGTGGCACAAATAAATGGTGTAATTTTTGGAGCTTTTTGTTTTTTTTTTTGCAGAAAATATACCTTTGAGGGTTCATCTACAATATTTTTTGCAGTATTTGAAAAGAAGAGATTAAATGAAACAATTAAAATGCAAAAATATTATGTTAATTAGTAAATAAGAATTGTTTTTTGGAATTTGATTCACAAATATTAAATTGCTTACACTTATTATTTTCTTTTCATTGTGGCTGGTTGGATTTGAATCCCTTGTGACTTCTCAGTTCTGCTGAGGTGTGCAGACTTTTAGTTTTTTACCGGCTCTAGTTCATGTAAATGGTTTATTATAGGGGGTGTTGTTTGATTAGACGTGTGGAATTAAATGATTTAAATGGAATATCATGTTTTTAACCTTATTTTTGCTTCTATTTTTGACAGAGGTGTTAAAATCAGTTAAAAATCTGATGATTTTCTGCATTTTCTGATGAAATTTCGTTAAATTTTCAATTCACTTCAAATCTACCGACCCAAACAGTTATCAGAAATGATGTACAGTTAACAGAAATCCCTTCTACTTGTAAATCGTACGTGTTTTTGTGTGTCTGACTGTGTGTTCTTTGCCTCAGTGTGGCTCATCAGAAGCCCATGGTGTGCTCGTCATGTCTGGACAACGAAGGCAAGACGTCGCTCTCTCAGGCTCTGCAGGCTTTGGGTGGCAGCCTGGTCAACACCTGGACGGAGGACTGCACACACCTGGTCATGCCTTCTATTAAAGTCACCATCAAGGTCAGAGCCGGACTCTTTGTCCTTTAATGTTCGTGCGACGTGATCGTGCGTCCTAATCGAGTGTCGATCCGCTTTCTGTTTTCCCCAATCAGACGATTTCGGCTCTGCTGTGCTGTCGTCCTATCGTGAAGCCAGAGTTCTTCTCAGAGCTCAACAACGCCGTGCAGCAAAAGTTGCCGCCTCCTAAAGCTGAAAGGTACAAAACGCTCCATCGTCATGTCCATTGTGGCGTTCTATGTGCTTAAAAACAGCATCTAATGTCACAGAAGACATTAACCACCATCCCCACACAGGAGCTCCATCACCAAGTTGACTTTTGAGGTTTTGGAGGCAGCACAGTGGCGGATAGCTCCTCTGTTGGCTGGTTACAGTCGTGTGGCAGCTTCTGACTGATTAATAATCCCAACATGTATTTTATTTAGTGTTGTTTATCCAGTATGGTGGAGCTCTGTCAGCCCTGAAAGCTGGTTGAAGTGATAAAAAATCTACGTGAACATGTAGTTTTCCAGCTGATAAAACACAGACACTGGTTAAAGATGTAAAGTAACTAAGTACATTTACTCAACTACTCCAGTTAAGCACAGTTTTTGTTTACCATTTCCATTTTCTGCTACTTTATACTTCTACTAACCCACAGTTCAGAGACAAATATTGCACTTGTTGCTCCACTACCTTTGTCTGATGGCTTTTTGTTTCTTCAGATTGTTAATATAAAATATAAAAACAAACTATGATGTGTTCTATTAGAAAATCCTGTTATTATCACCAACTGTTCCGCCTTTGAAGCCTCAGATTTGTAGGGCGAGCGAGTTGTGTTCCCGCCGAGCAGCAACGCTCCCTCGTGAGGACGGTTTTCCACTTACTGATGCTTCGGTTTGGATTTGAATCACGTGCAGGTGTCCTGTTTTAACGAACACAGGTTTTGAGTTTAATTAAATGCCACATTGACACCGTGTCACACAGAACCAAACACACGTCTATGTTTATACTGCTCGTCATTTCCCTTCATGTATTCGTGTCTTTGGCTTACAATCCGAGTGCTAGTTCTCATGCGGTTGGTGCGCTCGTACGACAATAAAGAACCTTGAATCCTCGTCTCCTCTTATTGTTTTTTTTTAGTTTCACCCCCGAGATCGACGAGCCCAGCTTAAACAAAGAGGACGTGAACCTCGGCGTGATTCCGCTTCGGAAACGGCTCTTTACCGGAAAGACCTTCGTTTTCCTCAGCGCCAAGCAGGTTTGTTGACATAATCCTAGAGTTTCTTTCACACTTGACATTAAATTTGCAGGGAAAAGTCATAAAATAGCGAGTTTGCAGGTGACAGCTGCAGCGTAAGAAGTCAATAGATGAAGTGAGATGTTGTTGTAGGTGATATAGCAGTCAATGTCCTGCTTCTTTTTCGGTCAGCTTTTAAAAACATGATGTTAAGTCACATGATCTCTGGAGCTTCTTGTTTACCGGCTGCATATCAGTTGCCAGGCAGTCGGCAGCCTGACATCCTCTGGGATCCTCTCTGCTTCCAGAGCTGCAGCCGCTGATCATTTTCACCTCCAAAGAACCTGTGAATTATTGTTGTATGATTATTTTTTTAACCATAAAATGTCAAAAAAATAACGACAAATTAGCCAAAAGTGTCCCTTCAGTGTTTATTTACAGCTTCGTCAGCCAGCAGGAAAATAAATAAAATCACTTTTAGTTTGATGACAGGAGAACAGATATGACAGAAATGATTAAATGTCAGTTTTTGTCAGTTAATTAATTCAAGCGACCTTTCGCTGTGTGGCGTCACTTCACGGCTGAATCCCACAGCTATGAATCATACATGGAAAAAACCCACCGGATGAGTTCATGGAGGGCTTGTTCACTTTATGAAGCGTCATTGAACTCAAATTAGACGTTTTGTTCACCCTTATTGACACAAACGGTCTTATCTGTCCAGCTCTCGTGTGTTTCTGTCGCCGTCATGACATGTGGCGGTGAGATAAGATAGTGAAAATATTTAGGAAATACAAAAACAGGAAAATAAATACACCAGGATATACATAAGTACTAATTATAGAAATAAATGTATGAAAGATCAACAACAGGAGGAGTTTCCATTCCTGCTTCCAAAGTCAGCTCAGGTGTAAATAATCATGTTTCTCTGCGTTTTCCCAGCTGGAGGTTGCACAACATTAAAGTATTACATTCCCTCCAGCAAATCCTTTATAAAACCTTAAATATTTATAGATCAATTAGAGGTTTGAGCCTTCAGTTTAACCCTCTGAACTTTGTGGGTGTTTTTTTTTTTTTCATTTTTCCTCACTGTGGCCTCATTTTTTTAAAACTTTAATATAAAGTCCTGCATCTCTATGGAAACAGCACAACCATGAAGAAGGAGAGAAATGTCTTCTCTGCAGCATCACACAGTTATAATGCCATAAATCATAAAAAAAAAGGAAGTTGAATTTCTTTAAACGTGACAAAACCTGAACAAGCCTGCAGCATTTTGCACATGTTGGTCCGACAGGTGGAGAACATAGTGTCTCCACGTGCTCTATTTATATGTTTTTTCACTCTACGCTGCACATCGACTGTAGAAAGATGTTTCACCATGCTGAGTGTTTCTTCCAACAACTTCCTGTTTCTGAGCCATGCTGCATTCATTTTATTGATCCAGTAGGTTTTATTTTCCTCCCAGTCTGTCTGATTTGTTTCCGTGCTCGTCTCCTCTCTGCTGCCTGCAGTTCTTCTGAAATTTCCCAGAATTTTTGTGACGTGACTGTGGGTTGCAGCTGAGTCACTCGTAGCTTCGCGGTTGTGAGTGTGCGCATAGAATTTTTGCTTTTTTACAGAATCCGGTTGATGCAAACAGTTGAGTAATTTTTTAAATGAGACACGTAGAAAAACATGATTTAGATGAAATATTATATCATCTATCATTTGTATAGACTTGCTTTATTATGGTGGCTGTTATGTGTATTATATTCATTTTATTTGCTCGCTTTATTCTCTCTTACTTATTTATTTTATTTATTTACTTAAAAAAATGTATTATTAGACCTGTTTTTATGAATTTACTCTCAATTGTCTCTCTCTTTTTCCGCCACGTTTTCTTTTTCCCTAATTATATAAAGCATTTTTGGTGTTTTTATTATTTTATCTAGTGTTGTTTTATTGATGCACTCACTCGATTCCCTTACATTTGCTTCTCTGGTCTTTTTTCTGGGTGTTCTCTTTTTTGCCCTGTCTGTCTGTGAAGCACTTTCTAAAGTAGCTGTATAAAAATGTCACTGTGAGTAGTTTTGGGTCCGTCAGAAAGGTGAAAATCTGACAAGTCTTTTTGTTTTTACAGGTTCTGGCTCTGATAAGTGGTGTCATTTTGTCTTCTTTTTTTTTTCTTTTTTTAAAAAATTAAGACAACTTGCCTTTCAAACCAGCCAGCGGGTTTTGGCGCTCAGAGGATAGATTAGCTGGGAAGTGGGCACAAAATGGGACTTTACAGTTGAAGAGGATTGTCAGAATTGCCCTCCTTCTGTGTCTGTAATACTAATTAACATGTTGGGGTTTCTTCCTGTCGTTTGCAGCTGAAGCGCCTGAGTGCGGCAGTGAAGTTCGGAGGCGGCCGAAGTCAGTTGCTGGAGGAAGGCTCGCTGCTCAGGAACCTGCTGGAGTCTCCACAGAGCTGCGTGGTCGACGTCACAACCGGAAGCTCCCAAGCTCTGCTGCCTCCTTCCAGCGCAGAGTGGGCCAACTCTGTGAGGAGCATCGTTCAAAGGTTCAAACTCCTGCTCTTCTGCAGGAAAGCACTTTAAAGTGGATGCTCACTTGTCTTGGAGTGATTTCTGAGCACTTACAAAGTCTCTCTCTGGACACAGAAAAGGCCTTCGAGTCATCACGGAGTCTGAAATCGGTCTGGCCGCCATCTACGCTTCCTGTGACATGTACTGCAACTCATCCAGCCTGATGCCAGACTCAGGTGGGTGGCAGGAGGAACTGAAGGGTATCTTTATTTTTTTTATTATTTCTTCCATATAATTTTGCTCTCTCCTCTGATTTGTTTGTGTTTCAGACTCTGCGCCTAAAGTGAACCCCAGGATCCCGAGTGCGTCGCTGTCGCAGAGCGCAACCGTGGACGAGAGTGTTTTACCTGCAGCGTCTCAGAACATCACGGCTTACGCAGCCAACACAGAGACTTCACAAAGGTACAGACAAACGCTGACACACGAATCTGTTACGCGGTAAAGTCATCGAAACGTAGAATAAACTCCTGTGTTTTCAGGGTGAAGGTGTGCGAGGTGAGCGGAGTGGCGGCAGTGGGAGAAACTCCTGAAAAGCAGCAAAACCAGAACAGCGATCGATTCCGTGGATCCAAACTGGCAGCTCAGAACACAACAACAAGTCAGTGCGTCGTGGCCGAAACGATGAGCTCATCGTTCAACACTACAGAGAACTCACAGAGGAAGAAACCTGAGTCCAGACTCACAGGTAGCTGCATAAATAAATCAGAGACACTCTGATGCATTGCCTTCTCTGCTGTGCCGACTGATACAGAAAAACAATCCAGCACCAGAGCTCTGTTTTCTTTTTAGGTTTAAAATCTGTGTGGACAAAACATGAAGGTTTACTTTGACTACGCATAATGTCTTCCTACATGTAATTGATTTTAGATAGGACAACACACCCTTTTTGGCGCTCTTTCTAACTCTTGTTATGTCCCGTCTTCTTGGTTTAGTTGCTGTCAGAGTATTTATTGCAGCGAGTAGTAGCACATATAGAACAAAAACACACAAGTTTACCTTTTCTAGTTGCGAGTTACTCATGCTTAAGTGTCCGTATTAAAAAAAATAATCTTGAACTTAATTTAATAATAGTCACAGCCTCATACAGCTGTGCATCCATCTCCACTCCCATTAGTCTGGTTTGAGTTGCTCTTGAACTTGTCTTTGCGTAAATAATAATAAACGTATTTGTGCAATTATTTGTTAGCATCAAAAGAAAGACGGGAAACGAGCTTAATTTTTTCATCCATTTTCAGACCCCTGCTTCTCGGTCGAGAAGTCCCTTCAACACTTACCCCTTCCAATGATGCAAGTGGTTACTCTGTGTACCAAAAATAATCAGGTTTTGAAATTATGGTACATTTCTGCATCGTCGCCAGTGTACGGTTACACCCCACTTTGTGTGCAAAACTAATCCTGCAAGTAAAAACACAACAATTTCATAAAGCAAAATGTTTTTTTTTCTTTAAAATAAAGGCTAATATAACAGTTTTGGATGTATTATCATATCAAATGTTGGAGCATCTGGACTGTTCTGGAAAAAAAAACACAAGATAAAGCATCCATAGCAAGTTCTTATGAAGACTGAACAACCGAGAACCCAGCTTGATCAGTTTCTTGTCCTTTACTGTGTCGCTGTTTCCTTTGTTTTCAGTTTCATTTTTCCAAAATGTCTTCTGCTTATGCTATGACAGATACTCTTCAACGTCAGTGTTTTTGCTGTTTCAGCTGCAGGTGATCCTGACGTCAGACCTCAGCCGTCCGTTCCAAAGACCAACGGTGGGACGAAGGCGTCCTTTTTTAGGCCGTCTCCTCAGAAACCTAAAACGTCTGCACAAGCTTCCCCACAGAAACAGTCGACTCTGATCAACTTCTTCCAGCCGGTCAGCAAGAAAAGGTAAACATCAACTCCTTCAGTGTTTCTGCACTTTGAACTGCAGAGCTGCATGATGTGTTGTCTCAGTATCAACATTGTGATGTGTATAATCATCACATTGCAGGAGGTGAAGTACAGTCAATTAACTCAGACACATCAGGCTACAGCTTCTGTTGCTGTGTGATTCAAGTTTCAAGTTGTAGTTTTTTAAAAATTGTATTTGAAAGAAAGAGTTTGTAGGCATGCAGGCTCCACATGTGCACAGTAAAATGAGCGAATAAACAGTAGAGAGCCTGAAAGTCAAGATTTGATCCCAGAAAAGAAACGTAGGGCTACAAATGTATTGGAGTATAAATGATTTTGACTTTTCACAGTTAAACAAATATGATCGACTGCGATATTGTAGTTTATGTGCTCTGTTTATAGATAAAGCCCATGCAGATAAAATTAATTAATTTAAACTTCAATCTGTCATTAGAATGCCTTATTTCACTCTGGTCAAACAATTTTCTTACAGCTGCCTGGCTAACTACCTGCATGTGACACGTTTAGGGGACGTCTGTACATTTTAGCCTCTAATAATACACAGATGTTCAGCTACTGAGGTGTTTTTTGTGCATATAAATTAATATTTTGTCTCTTGGAGATGCTCTGAATTCAGGTGAAGATCATTTAGGGTCTAATTTTGATGCAGATTTGTAGAATAACTGGACTGTAGCGCAGCTGGGAGGTGGCTGATCGTGATCTCCGTGTTAAAGTGATTGTGTTCATCATTTCCATCATAGTCAGTTCAAATTATTCCTATTATGAAATATTCCAGCTACAGGATGATCAGAAACAGGTTCTCTGTTTCCATTGTCTTGCAGTTGTTGTCGCCACATGAGTCATCACGCTTAATTAGTTTGACCTTTTAAATCCGCACCAGAAAAGATTTGTATGACGTCTGCAAAGCCTGATTCAAATGTCATCCAAAGCAAAAAAAATCCAAAACAATTTAAGATGTAATTGCCAGATACACTTCACTACAGAATCCCCTAATGCTTTCTATAATTATTCATTCTTTCATAATGGAGTTATTCAAGTCATCTGCTGAAAGTTCCTGTATTTTTTTTTTTATCATATTCCAGTAAACAAAATTTTGTGATTACAGTTTTTTTTCCCCAATATGGTGCAGCTCTAGTTGATCTACTGCTGTTACAACAAATACAGGAATCACTGAGGATGACAACAGTTATGTTTCATCATCCTGAAATGAGACAGCAGTGATAAAACAGAGGGCATATTAGCTGCAGGCTGAAATATTGACCTGAGTTCTAATCTTAAATAAGGTAACAAACAGCTGCTGGGTTGTCGGTAAATGTATTATTGTATACAATATGGAGAATGATAGTACAGCGTCATAATGAGGAGGAGGCCTCACCCTTCGTTACCCCACAGAAGAATAAGATCTTATTTATATCATGACAGTGAATACAAAGACTTTCCTATTGGCTTGTTGTAAGTTTAAACCTCTTCTTAGAGTTTTCACTACCATGTAAAAGTCCTGCATTCCTTAGACAGAACCTGAAGTTGAAACTGAGGCATCTCCTATGAAGGACTTGTTGCCTCAGTTATATTCCAGTAGTTGACCAAGGAGCCTCTTCAGATGGAAACTATAAACCTGACATGATGTAAAATCTTCTCACGTTACTGTAAGCTTCAGAAAATGTAGTTTCTCTTAACAGTTATTAAACATATAAACAACTGATCATGAATTTTAAAAAAATGATGGTTGAGACATATAAATGATAACCTATGAGCTTCAGATTGATTTAACTTCCATGTGGATTCTGTGTTATTTTGATATTTACCGTAAAAATGAACATGCTTTAGCCTATATTTACCCATTTCTCTGTTTCCTCAAGGCCTTTGGAGGATGACTTCCTCTCTGATGTCATGTCAGAGCCAAAGCGACCCGTCCTGGAACCACCCGCCACCTTCCAGAAACCAAACACAGCCACAGAAATCCCTTCGCTTCCACTCAGAGGTGTGTCCGAGACTCCACCCGAGTCGGAGTCCGATTTGTTCACGAGTCGGCCGGACGAACGGCAGAACAGAAAGAGGAAGGAGATGGAAGAGGAGATACAGATGGAGGAACTGGAGTCCATCATGTCTGAGGGTATGGACTGTTTCGACGAGCAGCTCTCAGACGACCAGACGCACAGTTCAGCCAAACAGAAACAAGGTTTAAGTACTGAAGAGGCTTCGAGCAAGAGACAGCGGCTCCAGCGAAAGGAGAACGAAACAACCAAACGGCAGAGTGGGCAGGTCGGCCTGGAGAAAACATCAAGTCTCCATCACAACCAGGGATCTGAACAGCATGTTGTCACTGTGAAGACGGAGCCGGTTGACCCAACAGACTACAGGACGACCACTGAAGAGTTCAGGAAACCGGCTGAAAAACCAACCGCACGTAAAAACATCAAACCGTTCGAAGACGATGACGTCGAGGTGAGGAAACGAGATTTACTGCAGACATTTAAAACCGAAATCAAAATCTCATCCAACTGTGTTTCATTATTACTGCTCAGTTTTCACCTTTTTTCTTTTCCTGTAGGATTTAGAGCTCCTCGGTGCGGATATTTCCCTGCCTACAGAAGACACTAAGACTCCTCTGAAACCGGTGAAGATCAAGCAGGAGCCCCAAGTAAGTCCTGTGAAAAAGCTCTCACTGTTTTCTAGCTCCATCTACATGCTGTGGTCTCAAGCTTTGTGTATTTGTCAGTGTCGATTATCTCAGTTTTTATGAACCTCAAAGCCCCCGACAGATAAGAAAGCTAGAGTTTATAAAGACGTGTTATTTCCAAAGAATCAGTTTGTTAAATAGAAAAAAGGTTTGATCAGCTCAGCGTTTCAGCTCAAAGGTTCAGCTTTTCCAGACATCTCAGAGCTATAGGAGTCGGTGTGTTTGTTGTGCTGTCTCGACACTTACAACCTCCCATCTGCAGCGTAAACTCGTCCTGTCTGTCACCGTTGTGCGTGATCTGCGATGTTTCCTGTCTGCGCAGCACCTAACCCCCTGAACTCCAAGCGGTTTCGGGCTTTTTATTTGCTCCTGTCACATTTTTCTTCACCGTGGGCTCATTGTGCTCTGCAACATAAAGTCCTGCACCTCAGTGGAAACAACAGGAAGAAGGAGAGAGAACTCAGACATGTCTTCTGTGCAGTACGACACAGCTAGAAATCCTTTGATTATATATTTTATAAAGGTTTTACAAAACTGGAGCCAACATGTTTTTTAGGTGCCTTAACAGGTGTTGCTAAGACTGGAAAACATTGTACATTCTATACATTTTTACAACCTCCACTAACTCTGTATTATCCACTCTGATGTTTCACCATGCTGGATGTATCTTCCACCAACCTGCTCCTCTGGATATTGTTTTTTTTAAAACCCATGCTGCATTTATTTTGTTGAGTATGAATGTTTTCTTCTCAATCTCTAGAATTTATTCACATACTTATCTCCTTGTTGCTCTATGGAAACACTGCCTGCAGTTCAGCTGAGAATTTTTCACTGCTGGTCAAAGCTGAGTCTGTCGTGGCTTCTAGCAGCTCAGAATTTTTAATTTTTCACAGAATCTGGTGCAAGTTGTTTATTTTTTTGCACAACATTTTATGAGACATGTAGAACAAAGTGATTTCAACCCTTTCAACACTAAGTAAATGTGTGTTCCTTATACACTTCAACACTGAGTAACTTTGGCTTGAAATTCAGATATGGTTTTCTTCAGTAGACTTCACATCATTGCACATCTGGTATCAATCAAAAGCAGACAAGTTGATGGTTAAATATATCTAGAAGTTTACTCTTGTCATGTACATACAGGTGAAATACATATGTGAAAAAGAAAAGGTAAACTTCATAATTAGCAGGGATATATGCAATTAATCATCAGTTCTTCTATACTGAGACATCAGCCAAAGTCTTGTAATTAGTTGTTTAGTTTTGATCGCTTATAAACGTTTCAGAAACGAGGTAGCAAAAATCCTGTTTCCTGTTGATTTTTGGGGTCAAACAACATCATTTTGCTTCATTTGCATCATTTATTTCATGACTGAATTGCTTGTTGACATACTGGGATTCCCACTGACAGCCAATCAAAATGAATGTAACAGAAAGTCACCATATACCGGAGCTGCTATACCGGGCTGAAGGGTTGAACTGGAGTCGTGATGCCAGCCCGGTACAGAGGACTATAGTGTCGAAAGGGTTGATTAAATATTAAGATTTTAAGCTTAGATTTGGTTACATTTCTCAATGGAACCACAAATCTTACATGATGCATTCAAGGACTGTTGGAAAATTGAAAATACAACGATTTATTTTTGGCACTTTTGGTGATTCATTTGCCGTTTTACAGGAGACGAAGATGGACGAAAGCCTTCCCCAGAAGCTGGTGATGGTGGAGTTCAGATCTCTCACCGTGTCGGCTCCTCCGACGACCAAACAGAAACAGACGCCGGCCAACGTCTGCGCAAAGAACTTCAAATGTTTCCGCAAGGTCAGACTGCGACGCAACAGATGCTCATTTGAAATTCAGACACGGGCGTTCTCTTCCCTGAACACCTTTGCACTTGACAGACTGCAAAAAGCAAAAAACAAAAAGAAGAAATGAATTCCTACTACCTCCTGCACTGCCTGTAGACACCTATCACATGAGAACTTGTTTTATCCAGGCTGTTTTCTAATGACCAGATCCTTGCTTGTGTTGTGATGCTTTAATTAACACTCAGCTCTTAACGTTCTATCATTTTGAACAGGAATGAGGAACTGAATTTAACTTTTTATACCCAAATCTGAGCCACTGGGCGTCTCTGAGAAGTCCGAAATGAATCAAGCAAACATTCAACCAGTAAAACTACATTTTTCTGTTCAGGAATGCAAGTAAATGACTATACTAATGAAAGAGGTTTAATAAATGTGTTAAGCACTGTATGCCAACAGAGGTAGTTTTACCACGACTACATAGAAACTAGTCATCCAGTTTGACTTTCCGCTGACACTAATTACAATTTTTGTTAAAAAATATGCCTCATTTATTGATAGGACATAAAAAGAACTTGTTTCAGGCATGATAAAACATAAAAGGCCTTGAATTGGATCTATAATGAAGCTTTTTTTTTGTTTTTGAGCTTTTTTGTGTTCTTCAAGGATTCCAGAAGTGATTAGTGAGATATTTGTTCACATTTTAAGAGAAGCTCATGTATGACCTGATAAGAAACTTGTCATAGAATACATTCAGTATTTTCAAAATCAACTGCCAACCTCAAAGCACAAGCGTTTGTCTCTTTACATTTTCTTTTCCACATGAATTTTATCAGAACCGTGTGCCGGGCGCGGACGGATTCCAACACGTCATCGGAGGATCCGACTTGCTGGTTCACAACAAGGGCAAGAACACCGATCTGGATGAATGGCTGAAGGATGCAGCTGAGGTACCGCCACCCCTCTGATTCGTTTATTGTTATTTGTTCTTGGTCTTTGAAGTTGGGTTTAAATCGAATTTTGTTCCAGGAGGAGCGTCAGAGCAGGCGGGAAGAGGCTGCGGGAGACGACCTCTTTAGGTGAGATCTTCTTTTTGTTATCGCCTCACAGCTTCCCAAACCCCCCGTTGGGTGTCTGTGTGGTCAGAACTCAGAGCAAACAGAGGCCGGGTATGTCCACCGATCACACTGATGTGCTTTTATCATTAGTAATTAGATCCTTTAGTTAATGTGGTTTTGTGTCATTTCATAGCCTTGACGTGGTTTTATACGATAGAAAGAGCTGAAATTTCAGCCACACTACGGTGTGCTTTAAGTTAACAAGCAGCTGCAGTCAAAACGTAGTAATGTGATGATAATGTCAGAAATCAGATTAGAAATACTTTATTGATCCCCTAGGGGAAGTTGCTTACTGTTACAGATGCTCCCAACCAAAAGTGTTAAAAGAAGCAGAAAAATAAAAATATAAACGTAAGTATTAATATGAAATAAAATATATCTAAACACAAAAAATAAATATACATTCTGCTCTTGTGTATGTATATACAGCAGTCTAATAATAATAATAATCTTCAGAAAATATATAGAGTCATGCAAACACGACCAACTAATTTATAGAAATAACAAAATGGAATGCAGCATTGTTTAACCAAAAACATAAAATAATAATTCTGTCACATTCTAAAGAGTAATTGTCTATTCATACCTTGATCTATGAGCTTTTTCCCACTTTTTTAAAGCAAAAGAATATTGTGGATTAACCCTCTGATTCCCAAAACCTGGTTTGAAAATCAGGTTTTCTTTTACAAAAAATGCCAAAATTACACCATTTATTAAAAAAACAATTGTTGTCTTGAGCAGATCATGTGTGTTGTGTGGTTCCATCTGGAAAATAAACCAAATCTAAGCTTAAAATCGAAATATATTTAATCAAAATCAATGTCTCATTTAAAAATTAGCCCAAAATAAGCCACTTGCCAGCAAATTCAAACTGTAGACTGTCTTTACAGAAAAGCAGAGAGGAGGCACGTATGGAAACAACCTGGAGAGTAAAACAGACTTAATGAATAAAGTAAATCCAACATGGCTCAAAACCAGTATAGAAACAGGTGAAAGACACATTCAGCGCGGTGAGACGTCTTTCTATAGTTGATGAGTTGGCTGTAAAAATGTACATAGTTAAATATCTGTAGTATGAAGGGCCATTTTCTTCCAGGGTTGGTAACTGGAGTATGTGGACACTTGGAAGATGCTGCACATGATTTTTGTAAAATAAACAATCACAATCGATTGTTATTGATGACAGTTGATATTTTCTGAGTTCTCTCTCTCCTTCTAGTCTTGGTTGTTCTTTTTCCATGGAGGTTCAGGACTTTATGCTGCAGTAAAAAAAAAAAGAAAAAACAGTGAGGAAAAAGAAAAAGCCCCGAATCTGCTCGAGGTTCAGAGGGTTTAAGAGAGAAACTATCCTCTGTCAATGTTAACGTCGTTCCTTTTTCTACCGTGTTTTATGTTCGTTTGTGGTCAGACAGTTATAAATGTCGCCTTTTTTGTGTCTTTGTGAGCAGCTCTCCGTCTGATTTAGTTCCTAGGAGACAACAAAGAGCCACAACACCTTAATGTTGGAGTGTTTTTTTTTATCTCCTGGATATTAAAATTGAATGAAACCGTTTGCACTCGTTGCACCTGTTCGCTCCGTCGCTCAATATACATCAAACAAAAACAAAAAAAACAACAACCTCCAAATAGAGATTCTGTCTGTACAGTCTTCATAATCAGGTGCAGCACAAGCAATAATTAGCAGAGAATTATGGATATGGGGCCACTGTCGCTTCGGCTCGGGCCAATCGGAGCCGGGTGATTCTTTCGTCACAGCGGTTGCCGGGGCGACAGAGGTGATGTAAGCCGGCGCTGTCGTGTTTTCTTTGACTAAGCAGAAAAGAGACAGTCTGAGATTGATTTTGTGTGTGTGTCAAGGCAGAGCTGTTTGATCACTGAGTCATGCTCAGTCAGTCATGCGTAGCCGGGGAACAGACTCTGCTGCTGAGAAAACAGTCCGCTATTTTTTTTTTTTTTTTTTTTTGGTAGGTCTAAACGGAGTTTCCAGACGTGGTTTTATAGGAAGCCCTGTTTGCTTTAAGCTGTTCAAACACCGTCCATGTTTTACAGCGCTTAATTTGGGCTGTTTTTTATTGTTTGTTCAAAATGCCTCTCAGGACATTGAGGAATGATCCATGAGGAATGTTAAAAGCCTGACTTGGATGTGTGTGTGTCTGTGTGTGCTTTTAGGTACAACCCCACCAAGCTGGCCAAAAGAAGATGAAATGCCTTCATCTTGACCTCTTCCAAAGGGGATTCATATCAAATGAAAGTATGTGTGCGTAGATAACTTCAGATGTGACTCCTGGTTTCAACATTTCAGCCTTTCAACGTTGTTTTCTGTCCTTTTTGTTCTGTGTTCTCTAATTAAGCCGCTGACAGTAAGAAATGTAACAAAAGAGGATTTTTCTCAAAGTTTTTATTCGTCAATAATAAAAAATATGGCATACAAAACATTAAAAACTCTTCAGTTGTACAAGAGAGCTTTGAAAACTCTACATGCTGAAAGCAGCTATTCTGTCTTTTTTTCTCTTTTTTTTTTTTTTTTTGAAGTTAAGACCCAAAGTGTTCCCTGGTTTTAGCAGAACCACTGTAGAAACTTGACTCGAGCGCTTTCACGTCTTAATGGATCTCTTCAGCGAGCCAACTCTTCAGGCACTTTTACCAGATCGAAAGCTGTTCAGATAAGTAGTTATCATGCCAAGCGTCTACTGGCCTCCGTGTGCAGACAGTTTCAAGCCCAGCTGCTCCTTCGTATTCGCAGAAAGTGCAGCGCGTCGGTGAGCTCAGCATGAATTGTGCATTAACAGAAGTCTGTTTTATCGTAGGATGCAGAGCGGCTTTTAATTAAGTACTCACAAGTTGAACTAAAATGTTAAGTCTACTGATCTGACACAAAATTAAAATAAACCTCGTTGTTTAAAGCAGAGAACAGGTACAGTTCAGCCCCAAACTATTCACAGCTACGCAAACTTTTGATTGAAAGTAAATTTTTCTGGTTCTTCTGGCTGGAAATGACACAAACAAGACAGTGAGACGTTGTGTTAGAGATGTTAATTTTTGTAGTTTGTTTTTGGAGATGCCACTTTTTAAAACACAGAAATAGTTCACATTTATCATTAACATCTCTAACACAACTCTCTCGCTCATTTCCCGCCAGAACAAGGTACAATAAAAAATGTGCTTTAAATCAAAGGTTTCATGGCTATAAATGATTTTGGTCCTGACTGTATTTCTCACCTGGATGCAACAGCCTCGTACTTTTATCTTTAAAGTAAAGCCAAAACAACAATAGAAAGTTATGTCCGCTTTGGAGCCACCCTGTGCAGTCCTTAAATTCACCGTCCTAACTTCTCCCACATCTGTCCTTATAGCACTTTTCTCCTGCTCACAGCAGCTGCTGCTAGGCAATACTTCATGCCTGCATGCATATATTTAATATTTATATCAAAACAGAAATCAGTGAAAAAAGCATCAAGGTATAATTCAGCCAAAATTCAGTAGTTAACACAAGTAACATTTTCACTAGTTAACTGTTATATGAAAACCTAAACAGTGTCAAACTATGTTGTTAGTGAAAAAAAAAGACTAACATGTTATTCAGTAATGCAATATACCCCCTTCACTGACTCATACTGTATTGAAGGGGGTAAAAAAAAAAAAAAAAAAAAGATTTTTCCTACACAAGGATCAAAATGTCACGTCACAGTAAACAAAGCCTGAGCTGTGCATGAGCGGCACACAAAGAATTCTGCATATGGCATCATAGTTTTGCAAACACGGTTTAAATGACCAAAAAGAAAGATTTAAAAAAAATATATAGTAGAAATGGGGGTGGGGGGGGGATAGGTCGCTACCGTCACTCCTCGTAACCTTTCTAAACTTATTTGGCACTTAACAAACAGTCATTCTGCCTAAAATGACGAGAAAATCTGCAGTGTTGTGAAAGTGTTGTGGTGTTGTGGCTTTTAGACGAATGGGTTACCAAGGCAAGAAGTGGATCAGTTCTTTGCTAGTCATTATGTAATTGGCAATTATAATTAAAGGGCTAAGGATCATACTGGTGTTTGTTTTAACACTCACAGTGAACACCATGTCCTGTCTAAATCTGTCTTTACACAAGTTTCTATGTCAGAATTGAAACTTGAAAATCTAAGCAAACATCAACGTTACGACAAATGTGATATTTGGAGTGTCATCTGAGCTACACGAGAGTATCTGTCTGAAGTTTTTTACGCTTTAGGGAAATAAAAAAAAAAGAAGAATCATGTAAAACACCAGAGCGACCCTTCAATGACCATACCGTTCACTGGGATGCTTGAATCCAAACGGTAAATTAGCAATGGGATCTGTAAGTGAACTTATTTGCATAGAAAGCCTTTTAGTAGTGGTACAACCAAAGCAATAGGTTGGATTTATTAGACTATGGCTCCAACTACCTACATTAGCAGCTAAAAGAAGACTTCTTTTTTCTTTTTTTTTTTAAAGCAGGCTCAATAACCAGGTACACTAAGCTGTTTTCCACTGCAGGAACCTTTGACTACAAGATTTGTCCCTTTCAGGACTGTTTTTTGGGGGAGGAAGTACCTACTCAGGTTGGGTTCCTCAGGGTGACCCTAGAAAACTGCTGTGTTAAACTCAAAGACAAATCCTGATTGTTTTAACTAAGAAAGGACAAAAAGCACCATGTTTCTGCCCTCTTGATGCCCTCATGATTAGCAGTCTTTTCTTCTCTAACATTGCCACCAACAGTGTTAAACTCAACGTATAGGCTAACATAACAAACCTCACATGCTCATACAACTGGAGTTACATTCAGTTAGTCTAAGTTGTTGAATCCTACACCGCAATGGAAATGGAAAGACTGAAACTGCCGATTATGAAGCCCCGAGTTCCTGCAGTAGAAAGACGCCCACTAAGACTTCTTAGCCATGAACTTGTTGGGTCACAGGTTCTAAGATAAATCTGGTGTACACGTCATATTGCAAACACTCTTGGTTGTGTTCTGTTTGTGGGTTTTGTACGTGGGACCACAGGTTGTTCCGCGAGTGCCCACACAACTTCAGCTAAAAGTTGCATGGATTTAAATGGAGTGTTCCCTCTCCGACTTAAAGCATGATGCAACGGCAAGTTAAGTGTTGTTAGTAGATGGATTGAAGACACATGGTGAATGAATAAATAACCCTGATGAAAATAAGAAGGTCCCATTCAGTTATGAGGTTACAGATTGACTAGAAAACATTGGCACACGGTAGCTCGGACATATGGGGACTTCATATGAAGCCAGACAACACTCTGGAAAGCTGTCTTTTGTTTCTTTAGAAACTAATTAGTGTACATCCATTGTCTTTTTGGTCTCAGAAAGTTGTAAAAATGCCTTTGCTTTGATGAGAAAACACTGCGTTAATGATGAAAACATATTAGAACTTTGCCTTCTACATCAACGGTTTGCAATCTGTGCCGTAAGACCAACAACATGACCACCATCCTGCTTTCAGATGAAGTTACTTCCCCCATTGCTGATGAGCTTCCCTTTATTCTTGAGTCTCTTCAGCAGACAGGAGGCAATGCCTAAAGCGCCGCCCTTCAAAAAGCGAACAAAGTTGTCTCCCACCAGTGGGCCCATGGCGAACAGACCTGGCTCGTTGGTGCACTCATAGGTGTAGGGGTGGATGTCAATGGGGTTTTGCTTGCAGGAGATGGGTCTTGTTGGATCCTGACCCAGGTACTGGCCCTGCCCCTTTATGAAGAACAGATTTGGGTTGGTCCCAATCAACACCAGTGCCATGGAGATCTTGAAGGCCTTAAGGGAGTTGTTCCCCTGCAGCAAACACTTCTTGTCAGACTGGAAGGACACCACGCAGTGTTCGGGGAAACTGGTGTAGTCGGGAAACAGGCCGACACTGGTGTTACCGGCCACGTTACCTGCTGCAAGCTGAGGCTTTGGGCACATCTTGGCACATACTGAGGAGGCGATGCTGACTGCCTGGGGTCTGTTGGGGGCAGAAGAAGGAGCCACACTTGTGTAGGCCTGAGAGCACATCATGTTGTAGACTTTGTGGTACTCTGGGTACAGGGTCTTGGGCAGCTGCTTGAAGATGAGGTCTGGGTCGTCTACACTCTTACGAAACACGTGCAGCACTCGAACGTTGCTACTGCAAGCGCACAGAACTGCATCGGCGGCACTTAAACCGGCGCCTACAATTAGAACCGGATCAGAGTTCACATCCAGTTTTCTGCGGCTCACGGCCAAGCCCAGATCTGAGATGCTGTGGAACACGAAAGGCAGATCCTCCCCCTCTATACCTAACCGGACAGGCGAATCGGACGCACCGGTGGCCAGAATTACGTTCTCCGCAAACAAAGAAAAGGGAACATGGGTGTCGTTCTGCACCTGCTGGTATCCCCTCACCTCCCAGAGAGCCCCACCTCCTCCACTGTTTACATTCTCTACTCCGTTACCCTCAAAGCCCTCATTCCCACCATCTCCCACCCCTCCGTCTCCTTGATCAGCATGCCCATTTTCCAGACCTTCCCCCTCGTGCCCCCGGCAGAGTTTCTGAACAGAGGTCACGTAGGTGTTGTCAATGAAATTCTTCTGGAGACCCTTTAGCTTCACATAGTTACGGTAATAGGAGGAGATCTCCTCTGGGGTGGCTCTGTCGCTGGTGACATCCCTAAAGAGAGAACCGAGACAACGGCAAACATTAGTACCAAATTGTACCCGTTTCAGACATGGGATGTGTAACATTGCTGCTTCATTAGGCTGTTGAAGTGACGGCATTCTGTCATTCAGATAAAGGTTGCTTTTAATGCTCTGCATGGTTTCATTTAGACACCACAGTGATGGAGACAGTTTCTTAAGTGCGAGATATACTCAGTGTTAGCCTATTAACAAAAGACAATATCTAAACTAACAGCAGCTTATCAAACTATCCAAATATCTGACAGTCTTGGTTATTTAAGACTTCCTAAACACTGAAAATTCTATGATGATGATAATCCAACTTTACCAAAAAATAAAATAAAAATATCCCGACAGCTGTGACGGAGTTGTTGGTGATGTTCTGTGATTTTCAAGCTGTCTTTTGCTCTCTGTGGTGTTTATGGGCAAATACTGGTGCTGACATGTGGAAAAGAGGTTTTATAAATAATTTCGCACAATGTAAAGTACATTGCTTGTGCATGTTTGTTAATGTAACTGCATGTAGTTCAGACTTGTGCCGTTTTGCAAGTCATACGGAAATGTTATTATAGGTCCAACTTGATGGGTTTGCCATTGCGACTTCGACAGAGAAGTGAACTTAGTGCTCCTTCAGACATGAATCCGGATGCTGTCAGATTAATAGAAATGTCTAAAAATGTCTTTAAATGGAAGCTTGAGCCATTCTGTCTTTGCTTTCCACTTTGCCCTCTCTGTTTACCTGCGTTTCCCATTGGTCAGGTCTCTGTAGTTGACTCCAGGAAGCTCCATCCAGATGCCAAGACTAATAGTCAGCATGGAGCCTTCCATCGCCTGAGGAGACAAGAGAGGCAACATTAGAGCCTATATGAACTGATACAAGGGTCTTTCGGACTAAACTTTGTATGCGACTTACATGCCAGGCACCACCGGGTGTCGCCCTCCCCAGAACCAGATGTGGGATGTGCTGCTGCTTGTCCCTCCTCCACTGCAGGACAGGAGGGAACTCGTAGCCGAAGTCAGCATTGGGGTGAAGCAGTGTATCGAAAAGCACAGCCACCGGATTCCTTGACCTCCCCTCGAGACCTTCGCTCAAATATTCCAGATCCTGCAAAACATGTATACAAAAAACGCTATCATGACACACCTGAGTGGCTTTATGGACATGCATAAGAAATCTGCAGGTGTTTTTTTACCTGTTCTGTGATCGGGAGGTGCTTGGTCTCCTGCAGTTTTCTGTACAGTATCGGGTTTGGGTGGACAGTAGCCGTGTCTAAGTAGGGTTTGTATCCACTCAGCAGGTAGGACAGGCAAATACCTGAAGGCCCATTCCCTAAGCACACAAGGAATTATCATAGGATGAAAAGGCTGCTTGTGGTATTTTTAATATGTGTGCAGGATCACCTAGAGGTGCAGAAAGTTTACCTATGATGACCACGGGGACAGTAGGTGGGTGCTCTGTCGGCAGAGCGGTCTCTTCCAGAAGAGGCATGGCTGCAGCCTGGGCCAGAGCCGGCACTGAGGAGGAAAAACAAAATCAGAAATGTGAAGAAACTTCCAGACGTTTCTGTCCATTCAGTGTCCAACTAAAAGCTCATTTGTGCTTTGTCCCTCCATGTATCTGGGTCAGATTATTTGAACAGGTTCAAACCGGCTCTCTGTCTTTGTGTCTGGCGGTGTTGTTGTTGTCTCCTGTTAGCTTAGATCCTGTCTCCATCATCAGCTGACTCAGAAACACACACACCGAGGGGAGAAAAAAAAACCTGCATTCATCCTGTTATTGTGCTTCCACACACAGCCTCCCTGTCTGTCTGGGGCTTCACACACGTGGAAACACGCCGCCACAACACCACCAGCTTTTTTCTTTATCGCCGTCCCGCCAACGTCCCGCCGCACATGGCCCGCGGGGACTCTAGCCAGGGTTAACCCCGGTGCCGCTCCCCCAAACAAAAGGGAGTTCTAATCAGATTTATGTAGGCTCGGGCCTGTTGTGAAATGTTGTCGTCGAGCATGTGCGGTGTGTGTTTGTGCGTTACGCGACAGTGCCATTGTGTGCCCGCCGGGCAGCAAATCCCCCCTGATCACTTCTCCGAGTGGGCCCTAATCCCACTGGGCCTGTTTATGTCTTTGAGCGGCGGCGGGGTGAGAATGTGGTTCTGGCTCGCTGACAGAACCAGAGCCCGTCTCAGACGCTCCCGCCAAAACATCGCCCACTGGCCGCCGCTGCCACCGCAGCCCACTTGCCCCACTTTGAACCAAAACACTGCCTACGCCACCTTTGTCTTACGTCCCAAAACTCTGGCTCGGTTCCCCAAAAAACTCCCATGTCTCCCTGCTGCAGATACAATCCTCCCCCGCCTCCCCCCTGCCTCCCCCTGTCTGACCTGTGTCTGTAGGCCAACCGGTTGTCTTTCGGCTTGTTTACCCTTTTCAGTGAAAGCAATGGGATTCCACACATGGTCGTGCCCCCAGTTGGCAGGCTGATACTGGTATTTCCACACCACTGGTCAATTGGACAAAACCCGACAGTGTTTACAGTCGGAAACTTTTCCCTCTTTCTCAAACTTTCACTTTGCACTCTCTTAGATCGGTGGGTAACGTAATGCCTCGGTTGTTTTTCAGCTATTTCCAGTAGAAGCACATAGAAACGTACAAATGAACAAGCTAAAAGCCTGACTTGAACTCTGAATGCAGTTAAAACAGGAATTTGATCGTTGACTTTGTTGGAAAATGTCCCCTCTGTCCACTTACTGTCTTTATTGAGCCTCAAATTTAGGCTTAACAAGATTTAGTCACAGTGTCGTGATGCAACTTACAATTCCATTCTCAATTATCTTGTTCTACACTCTGTATACTACTTTTTCAGATCTGCCCCTCCAGTGATGCAAAACTACTGAAATCTTACTTGCTTTCAGAAGTATTAGCTGTCATCAATCATCCAAAATAAACCTCGTTCTAATATATTAATGATTAGAGCTGCAACTAAGGATTGTTTTCATTGTGACTTATTTTCTGGATTAATCAGTTTAGTATCTGAAATGTAAGAAACTGGTTTAAAAAATAAATAAATAAAATCAAGCAGCACAAGATAACAAATGTTATGTTTTGTCCACACCTCAAAGATATTCAGTTTACTGGCATAGAGGAGGAAAGAAACCGATACAAGAACAGAGAGAAAAGAGTGTTTAAGATTTTGATTTAAGCTAAATTTGTTTTTGTTTTTTTTAGATACTATTTGTTATTTTTAATCTCTTATAATAATCACTTACAATAAAATCACGCTGAAAACTGCAATGTCCTTTTAACCTATAATAATAATATTATTATTGTACCTGCTGCTACAGCTAATGATCATTTCTACTGCCCATTAGCCTGCTGATTATTTTCTACAGTAATCAATTAATTTTTTGATTCTTAAAATGTCAGAAAAAATGTTAAAATGTCTTGTTTTATCCAAAAACCAAAAAAAATCAAGTTAACGGCCGAAAAAAAACCAAAAAAAATCAAAATTAACAAATGAAAAAGAAAAAAACAAAAGAATTAAGGGTTTTTCAATTGAAAAAAAAATCACTCAAGCCAATTAATTATTATTAAAACAGTTGTAAACTAATCGAATAATCCATTAAGCAGAGCAGCTTTACTCTATAGCGTTTATTGTGGCTGTTTTGGTTGTTATTCAACATGCAAACTTCAGCTTTATCCATCAGCCTCACAGTACCTCAGGTGCATTGAATGCTTTTGACAGATGATGCAACATCAGCTCTGTGCGCATCATGTGCTGTTTACCGCACAGTTTTACACTTTTGCGACCCACAATTGCAAATAATGAAGACAAACAGTGTGAATATTTACTGAAATATCACAGAGATGATCCAGTCTATAGAAGAAGCCTTGAGAGTAAAACAGCACCAGCAGAGAGAACATCCACAGTGATAAGAATAGAAACGCCCCAGCTAAAGATGTTCTTTTTGCTGGTTTGTTTTGCGCCTACATGTGCGCCTTTTTTTTTTTTTTTTTGTTGCAGCATGTAGGACGGACTGTACTGTTCCAGAACATGGTGCGCTATAGGTGCATGTGGCTCCTACACACAGCGTGGTAAACACATGGAAGTTTGTGTGCAACTTTCAGTGAACACAATGACAAAATATCACATTTTTTCTTTGGGCGCTTCAATCAGGATCCCTGTGTTCGTTTGTTTTTCCTCCTCGTCTTTGCAACTTGAGCTCATGTGCACGAAGCATCCTGCAGCTCCGTCACAGAACGAGGTTAAACTCTACCTGCTTCTATATGTATGAGCCTGTGTGTGAGTGCGTGTGCGGATGCTGCAGCAGCTCCTGGAGCCAGTGCATGATGCAGCAGTCTGTTAAGCACCGTCCAGGCTCAAACCTCCCACCACACTCCAGACTCCTGCCTCCAATAAGGCGCACAGGCGACATCATTGCGTAATTTAGGTCAAACACACAACATCCGCAACACCTCGGCCAAGAGCAGAGTCTCTTACCGCGCTGTGGTTTATGTCTGTGTCCCAGTGGCGTCCCAGTATCACGACCCGCGGCGCTGACCGTATAAATAGGCAGCCCCCGGCGGGTGGGAGGACCTTCCCGGCTGTCTGGGCTCCGTCCGGATAATGAGCCGGCCTCCCTGGCGTCACTCACCGCGGTGTCGGTTCGATCCGAGCGGACCCGGTGTGTTCTGGTCCGAGCAGCCCGGAGGTGTCGGCCGACGGGGGCGCAGATCTTCTCTGCGTCTTCACGGCGAAAGACAGAAACCGGCTCCTGCGTCCGCTTTTGTCGTCACATGCGCATTTCTGCTCCGCACCGGCTGCGCGTTCACGGAGACCGAGCATCCCAGCATCATCCTCACAGCGCCGCCGGTCACAGTGGACGCTGCTTTTCAAGACACGCGTTCACAAAATCTCATTTATGCTCCAATAAAGCCCCAAATCAGCCGGAGTCCTGCAACATTTAGATTCCAGCGCAGTTTCTTCTGCGTGGAAATAACATTGACGAGTGATTAAAGGCAGTATAGGTTGGTGTTGGAGCAGTTGATGATAAATTCAATCTATTTATATTTTTCATTATAATATTAGTAAAAATACCATGTCCAAGGTGAATTATACTCCTGGAAATTGTTGCAGATTTTTCTATATCATTCCAAATGGTTCTGGTCATTTCTACACTGCAAAATAATCATAATATTATTATTACAAATCTATATATAAAAAAAAAAGTACTGTAACATTTAAAAAAAAACTTAAAAACTATGAAAATATGGTGAAGATATCTGTTTGATGTTTTTAAGCTATTTTAAAGAGAAAAAAAATGTGTAATTGCAAAGTCAGGCATTGTACCAGAACCAATGAATATTTATAAAAGCATAGATTTTTGATTTTTTTTTGCAGTCAACATGTTACAACACGTAATACTTTTTTTCTTTGATAATATTAGATATATTTAGTTTAACAAAACAGGAGACATTTGTAACAGTTAGAAATTGTTTAAAAATTACTGACTATTTTAAGTCCTTAATACATGTCCTTTTTCTTTTAAATAAAATTAAATATCTGAAAAGTAATATTATTGGCTAATTTAAGTACAGTTAAAAAAAACAAACAAAAAAAAAGAAAAAAAATCTTAAACGAATTACTATTTGTAAAATTACAATTTTGTTTTTTATTGCGGATGTTATGTACAGTTTTGGCCTGTCTTTTTTAAAAAGGTTGATGTGATTTAATATATATATTTTAATCTTTATTTCTCTGACATAAAAAAAAAACAAACTGGGGAATTTGTTACGGTGTGCCATGTACCAAAACCAAGGTTCAATGTTCACAGTTTGAAGCATCATGACAAAGTCCAGGGAGTTCCTCACTGTGGAACATGTCAAAGAGCTGCAGGAGGACAGACGTGAGTCCTGCACTGGGAGAATGGTGGAGGCCCAGAAGAACCCAAGGACCAGCACCAAGAGCATCCTGATCAATGTGAGCAGTTCTGGTAGCAACATGTCAATCAGACACTCCAGCAGACCAACAACAAGGCTGGTCTCCATGGAGACAAGGAGGATCCACTTCTCCAGGACAAAGAAGAAAGCTGCTGCTCATCACTTCATGAACATGGAGATGTTTGGACACAGAGAAAGGAGAAGCATTCAAGGCCAAGAGCAGCATCCCCACGGTCCAACATGGTGGTGGAACGTGATGCTTTGGGGCTGAGATGCTGCACAGACGGAGAAGAAGGATGGTTTCCACTAAATATCAGCAAATTCTGGATGCAAATGTCAAGATGCTACAGCAGGAGGATGATCCAAAGCACATCTCAGAATCCACCAAGAAGGCCGAAGCTTTTGGAAGCAGCTGCCACAATCGTTGGACTCGAACGTCGCTGAACATCTGTGTGTAGATCTTAAACATGCTGTGCTAAAAATACCCCCAGACCTTGAAGTGATCTGCATGGAGGAGTGGCTGCAAATTCATCTGTCAAGAAGAAAGAGCCACTTGCAAGCTGTGATAGCTGCCAGAGGGGGAGGGTGACTCAGTACTTTTCTCCGTGCCACAACTACCGTTTCATTCTTGTTTTTGTTTTTTAAGTTCATGAGATATAGGACTGCAGTTTGTTGGGCAGGAAGCTGCGGAAGTGACGCCTCGTAAAGCATCACAAGAATGTCAAAATCACAGAATATCTCAGGCACATGGGGCAGTATCAATAAATGCATGCAATAATAAGTGTGAATAAGTTGAAATGAATTTAAAGAGGACCTGAAGCAAGTGTCTGTGAAGCCACTAAACTCCTAAAGAGCTCCAACTGCTTATATCAAGTCTAGACGTTGTCTGAGCCAGCCGTTCACGTCGCCACACTTTGGTTTCCTCAGCTTTTTTCTGGCTTTAAATACATAATTATATATGTGATAACACAAACAGCTGACACAAGATGGTAAGTGATCACATTATAGATGTCAATGATAAATTCTTCACTATTTCTATGTCTGCTTTTAATTTATTTTTTATTTTTTTCACAATGCCACATCAAAAAAACAATATCATTGAAACTGTTGCAGAAATGCAGCTTTTACACTATTGTAAATGATCCTGGTGGTTTCTAGCATGTTTTAGTGTTCTAATACTCTAAAAACCTGAGATGCATCAGTTCTCTAGTCAGTTGCTCAAATCATCTCAAGTACTTTCTGTCTTATGCTGCTTTTTCCGTCATTTCCAGCCAGAGGAAAGCTATTAGCTAAATAAAAAACCCCATATAAATATACAGTTTCTACGTGTAATGATAATTTTTGGTTAAACTGTTTGGGCTACATTTCTCATTAGTGTTATTTCATGTGTAAAAGCGGAAGGAGGAGAGTGTCTTGTGTATTGTCCCAGCAGCAGCAGCTTGGTTCCGCTTGGTCCCGCCTCTGAGCCTCATCGTCCAATCATCGGCAATACTGTGCAACTTCTTCCGCATTGTTGACCAATCAGCGGCGACGCTCTTCGGCTTACCGTCCAATCAGCGGCGAGAAGCTACGACTCACTGTCCTTCATGCACACACATGTTTGCTAGCAGTTAGCTGCGGCTAAAACACGAAAAGTGGCAACAAACGCCACTGAAGATGGTGAACTTCAGTAGAATTTGTCTCCGGAAGGTAAGAGCTGCAGCAGACTGTGATGTGGAGATAAATAAAAGAACAGCGACGGTTTAGTTACATTTGAGTTAGCTGGAAGGCTAACTGTCACAATGCTAAACCAACAGAAGGATGCTAACCAGCTACATGTATCTGACTACAGTAAACAGCAAAACAACAAACTGGTCTTCACAGTGTGTCACAGCTTTATGTGATTTTATCAAATACATATATGTAAAATTCATTAGCAAGGACAATTTAATTTAATTTACTTGACATTAGGGAGAAAAAGGGGGTCTTAAAATAGCACACTAACTCTCTCAGATGACACAAAAAGTTAATTTTACCTGGAGAGTAATTCAGATGATTACAGTTACAACTAACCATTATTTTACTAATATTTATTGTGGTAATCTGTATTTTTAGTGTACTTTTCAAAACAAAGTTACAAAGTGCCTCACAGGGCAGCAAAGTCTTAAAATCATCAGATTTTAAAGGAGACAGATAAAAACATAGTTTAATGCCCACAGAGTTGGAAAAGCTGATAACACAGACATAACAACACAAAACCAATAGAAAAAGCAGTGCAATTTATGATTACAGCCACACCAAGGAAACAGCAAGAGAAAAACAATCTAAAATTTACATGCAAATTCTTCAAAGGTTCTCCATATATTTCTAATAATGCATTTGGCGCTTGGTTGAGACATCAGTAAAAGCACAACTTGTAGATCTTTTACCTTCTTTAAATGTGGTTTAAATTTGATGCCACATAAGACTTCATATTTTAGCTGCTTTAAAGGAAAAAATGTGTTTTAGATTTCATGCTTTAAAAAAAAAAATGTCAGTAAGTGAAGTCTTGAGGAAGTAAAGCAAATCCTAAACATAATGTTTTATCAAAGAACCTTCTAAATCTCAACAAAAACAACTGTACCTGAAAACGGTATATTTCTGTTTTAACCCTAACCCATCAGGACATTTTGCAAAAGGTATTTTAAAATATATAAAATACATATTTCAGTGGATTTCTCCCTAAAGGTGCTTTTTGAATATCCTCCCAGTCTAATTTCGCTCTTTGGTCTCTGCAGTATGGAAACTTCGTGGACAACCTGCGCCTGTACGTCCGTGGAGGCAGCGGTGGGATGGGTTTACCCCGTCTGGGTGGAAAGGGAGGGAACGGGGGAGATGTTTGGGTGGTGGCGACAAAGAACTTGACCCTGAAGATGATCAAGGACAGATACCCACAGAAACGTTTCGTAGGTGAAGCAGGAAGCAACAGCAGGTTCGCAGACTTTTGTTTCACTGCTTATTTACTGACATCGATTGAGTTTGTCAGAGATGTTTTGTTGTCGCTCCGTAGTTGTGGGTCAGTAAGACTGTTTGTTTTGTGTTTATTACAGTGTTCGAGCTCTGAAAGGAGAAAATGGGAAGGACAAGGAGGTGTTCGCTCCTGTTGGTATCACTGTTACCACTGACAACGGCAGAATCATCGGTATGTCTAGAATCTTTATTAATACCTCCCTCATGTTGTATCAGACAGAACCAGAACAGTCAGAAATGTAATGATTGGGGTTTTTTTTACTAGAGAAGCCGTGTTTGTCTTCGTTTAGCCAATGAAGCACAAAGATTTATTTCTCCAGAGAGTAACAAGAACTCAGAAGTTTGACATGAAACATAAACAAATGATGCATGTGACGTTGTTTGTTGACCAGGTCGATAATTTGTTGAATTAAACATACCAGAGGTGATCCAAAAGTTCAGAGACGGACTATTAACAACTATTAGTTTATTATTGATAAAACACACTAACTGTGAACTATACAGCAAAAGAAAAACTTGATAAATATAGACCCAAATCATAGCTAGAACCTAATTTTTAACTTTTCCACGAACATAGACATTTTAAGATTGTTGCTATAATGTGAGAACAGATCTTATTCCAGTTCCTGCACCACAAACACTCCCTGAACCTTTGATCGCCCCTCGTATAGAACCTGTAATCAAATGTGAGTGGAACAGCCGCCTCACTTCTTCTTTTTTCCCTCGCTCGCCCTCCAAGGTGACCTGAACGCCGACGGCGATCGCTTGTTGGTGGCAAAAGGAGGCTCCGGAGGCACTTCGTACTCTGGCTTTGAGCCCAGCAAAGGTCAGGCCAAACAAATCCGGCTGGACCTCAAACTCATCGCTGACCTCGGCCTTGTGGGGTGAGAACAGAAACACACCTGAACACTGACTGAAAACCTCCGCATTTTATTAAATGTATGATTTTTTTTCTTGTGTTTGATCACGATCAGGTTCCCAAATGCGGGAAAGTCTTCTCTGCTGACCGCCTTGTCCAACGCCACGCCTGAGGTTGCCAGCTACGCCTGTAAGAACTTTATAAAGTGTATTTATCTGTTTTCTGTTGTGTGTTTTTTGCTTTTGCTGCTATTTCTACAATATGTTATATGAATTTCAGTCACAACTTTGAAGCCACAGATCGGCAAACTGATGTATGGAGATTACAAGCAGGTAAGTGAATGCGTGTCACTTTATTTCCAACTGTCCATTGAAGTAAAGTTGATTTTTTTTTTTTTTTTGTTTTGTCGTTGATGTTGTTTGTGTTGCTCTTTCCTTTCGGTAGATCTCTGTCGCCGACCTCCCGGGGCTGATCGAGGGCGCCCACATGAACAAAGGGATGGGCCACAAGTTCCTAAAACATGTGGAGAGAACCAAGCAGCTGATGTTTGTGGTGCGTAGTAACAGCGACTACCTGCGGATTTGTTAGTGTGGTCAGCATAACCAGCTGGAAATTGCCCCTGTTGGAAGATTTTCCCCCAAAGCCACTGTTGTTTTTTCTAAACCCCAGCGTTAATAGCGTCTATGTCTTCATATACAAATATTTAATAGGTGATCTTTGTTGCAGAAACATGAATAGAAAGAGAAAACCTGCAGCTGACAGTATAGAGAAAGTATTAAACAAAGAAATGTTTTTTTTCTGGCTGATGCTGCAACATGTGTTAAGATATTGGACAGCGGTGAAGTGGTGCTCTGTGCCGAATTACACAGACTGACATTTAGGCTTTTAAATGCCAAATTGTTGCCGCAGGTTTCACTATTTTTAAGGTTTAGTTGTCAGACTCAGTTGTCAGACAAACAGATGAACTTGACTCAGAAAGGTAACAGATGGAAGAGGATTGTGAAGTAAATTAGAGAACAATACATCAATCACATGCACGGTTTATTCATTATTGTTGCCTTGCAATAAACAGAATGAATTGCAGGTATGTTGCAATATTTTGCATAATTCTGATAATAAAAGCAGGTTACTGAGTCTAATTAGGTGTCAGGTAATTGTTGCATTAATTAAACTTTACATTTTTGCTTTTATTTACTCACAAATGTTGGAAGCAAAATCTTGAAAAATAAATGTTGTTTTATGTTTTAGTCTGAAGCCAGCAGTAGCAATTCAAATAAACAGGTTGCTTTTGTTTCTTTTAAATGAGGGATTCATTGATCAACAAACGTGTTAGTTGAAACAGTCCCAGGCTGTTTTTTATTGCCTGTCAGCACCTGATCGCCTCTCACGATGATGTCTGGTTGTGTTTCGTGGCTGCAGGTGGATGTTTGTGGTTTCCAGCTGGCAAGTAAAACGGAGTTCAGGTCGGCCTTCGAAGCTGTGCAACTTCTCACGAAGGTGATGCTATGATTAAAAAAGAAAAATGTCCAAATCCTAAGTACCACTTTGGATATTCCATCTGATCTCTGATCTCATGTATTCTTTCACGTGAAGGAGTTGGAGTTGTACAAACAGGAGCTGGTGTCGAAGCCTGCGCTGCTGGTGGTGAATAAGATGGACCTGCCCGACGCTGAGGACAGACTAACCGAGCTGCAGGAGCAGCTACAAAACCCAGAAGGTAACTGATGTAAATATGTGAAGACAAACCTGTGTTCTGCACTACAGCGTCTCTAAAGCATAGAGATTATTTACCTCTGCCCAAAGTTTAGAATATAGCAGAGGACTCAACAGTTAGTTCCTCTGAAACATCAAACATTAGAAGAACAGCGTGAAAGAAATAAAATCAATCTTTCAAATACATTTTTTGTTACACATGGACTTCAGTAAATGTATTGACAAGGTAAAAAAAAAGCACAGCTTGAGGATCTTTTATCTTTAATGCCACGTTATACAAAATATGTTAGAAGCTTTAAAGGGGAAAAAAGTGCTTCAGGTTCAGTTGGCTGCTATTTTCTTTCTAATTACTGAAGTTTTGAGAAAATAAAGCACATCTTCCTATAACTAGAAGAAATACAAAAAAAAAAAAAAGACTTCACTTTATGGAGAGAGGTGTGAAAACTCAACGATTTCATACACAAAATGTTTTCTTCCCTTGATATAAAGGCTAATATTATTAAATCTGCAGCTATTATTAAATGATGGAGGATCTGGATGAGCTGGACTGTTCTGAAAAAAAAAAACAAAAAAACAAGATGGTGACTAAGATAAGAGCTTAAAACTAAAGGTAGTAGAATTACCCTGACAATAGCCACGGGTTCTTAGGGTTTAACAGATTAAAAAACACAACATGGTGATCTTTTATCTCCTTTTAAACTGTTTAACTTTACAGCCACAATCTACTTAATGTGCCGGCTGCTTGAAAGGGAAAAATATGTGGAGGGAAGTTATTTAAAAGATGATTTCTGAAGTTTGGAGAAGTAAAACTAATCTTAGCGTAAACATTTTATCAGAAAACCGCTCCACAGTCACAGAAAATGGCTTCAAATGGAACTAAATACTGAACACTGACCATCTGTAGAGTGAATATAGAGATTTAAATCCAGCCTCTGAACCCGCTTGGATGTTTTACAACAAATTAAGTAAATCTAAAATGAAATGTGTTTCCTTTAATGCTCTCGAATTCTACTTCTTTAAAGATAATTTAATATTTTCCTTTGAGTTTGATGTGCTACGGTGATGCAAAGTTGAATTCAGAGGGCAGGTAGCTGTTTTGATTAAAATGGGAAGAAGACTTACAATCAGGTCCATCAAGAACAAGCGAGGAACTTATTTTCTTTCTCATGCTAACAGAACACTAACTCCCACTGCTCTTCTTTCCCCTCTGCAGAATTCTCCGATCTGCTTCCTGCCGACATGATACCGAAGAACTATTTGACCTTCAGACACGTGATTCCTGTTTCTGCCACCACTGGGTTCGGTATCGACCATCTGAAAAGCTGCATCCGCCAGTCGCTGGACGAAGGCGCGGCCGAAGAAAGTGAAGCTGCGCATCAGGAGAAGCTGCAGGCTCTGAGGCACCAGCAGCATCTGTGACCGACGTGGACGACGTGTGGCTCACTGAAGCGGAAACTACGGATGAGTTTTGTTGCATCTGACGGGAAAAGTGCTCTGAGAAACGCCTCCGACAGCAGGAACTGTCAGAAATGCTGGAGGACGATTTCACAGTTCAAACATCCAGTCATGAAGCTCTGCGAGTTCTGCAGGAGGTCGAATGTTGGCTGCTTTGTTTGGACGCTGTAGATGTCAGTAACTGAACGACTTAGAAATGATCTCGTACAAAAGACTGATGAAACCGCCTGGATGATAAATTCATGTTCCTCTGTGAAAATGGAGCTCAAGTGGCGTTAACGAACACAGGGGAGGAGAGGTGTGTTTGTACCAGCCAGTTGCTCACAAAGATTAAGATTGTATTTATTTTTATCGTTGTGTACTTTAGGGATGCTCCATTACTGATTCTGAAACCTCATCACAGGGTGCCAACTAGGGTTGGGCATCGAGAACTGGTTCCAAAGTTCAGTTAAATAACACGCTGACTATATAAATTCATACAATTATTTTGTTTGTTGATAGACAAGTGGTGGAAGAAGTACTGAGATCCTTTATTGAAGTAAAAGTACTAAAACCACGTTGTGAGAGTGCTGCATTGAAAATGTTATTTAACCTTCTGAACCCTTTTCATTTAAAAAAAAAAAAAAAAAAGCCAAATTTACATAATTTAAATGAGCCACAAAAGGTAAAAACAGAAAAAAATTATTCGATATCCCCCTTTCCGACGGTCCTCGAACTCACCATCTGTTACATGCAGGTTGGTCGGGAAAATTAGACAAATCTCAGCTTTAAATCACAATTTTCATCACAATCACTACAATCTGCATGTTTCAATTTAAAATTGGGCAAAAATAAAGCGTTTGCAGTAACGTGTCTGTGAAGATTCTCGGTCATCCAGGTCGTGGTTATTCTGGTAGATTAATGGTAGCAACTGGACTTGCTTGTGTTCCTTGAAGACGTTCCACCGCTCATCCAAGAGGCTTCATCAGTTCTGACTGACTAGTTGGGAGTTCCACATACTGATATCCTTAAGGAGTCACACCTAGCCAAAAAAAAGACCTTAACGAACCCAATTGTGGCAGGGGTCATTACTAACGACTCACATAACGAGGGGGAGGAGCAACAAACCCCCAATTGAAACCGAAACTCAGGTGTTAATGGCTCCTTAAGGATATCTGGAAATCCCAACTAGTCAGTCAGAACTGATGAAGCCTCTTGGATGAGAGGTGGAGCGTCTTCAAGGAACTCAAGCAAGTCCAGTTGCTACCATTAATCTACGAGACGTTGCAGTAACTGGATTCAGTTAGAAAACAAAAAAATCTGTGCTCCTCTTTATAACTGTGAAGCCGTTAGTGACTTGGCTGCAACAAACAGAAGACCTGTGGTAGTCTTCATCTGAACTGCAGGCAGTGTTCACACAGAGGAGATAGGAGACAAATGTGGAAGCATATTAAAAATCTAATTAATAAAGTATCGTCACCTTTCTCCAGTTTCGGTAACACCAGTGGACACTTGGAAAAATGTTTCACATGTCAAGTCCAGGATTTTATTTTATTTTTTCTAAAATAAATCAAAGAAATTAAACTTTTGGTTAGTATGATTTACGCCATTTTATCTGTGTCATATTGCAGAAAAGACATTTTTGAGTTCTGTGCTGTTTCCACAGAGGTGCAGGACTTTAGATTGTAGTGAAAAATGAGCCACAGTGAGTAAAAATGTAACAGGAACAAAAAAATAAAACACTAGGAAGGGCATAGAAAGGGCAGAAAATGTGTAACAGTATTAAAAGTGCTCAATGCAAAAAAACAAAACAAAGCCGTTTGTGACTGTTATCTTATAATATGGTACATTATTTTATTTGACCGTTGCAGTAACTGCACATGTCTCAAAGAATCAGATTTGAGAACCAGAATTAAAAAAACAATTGTTCAAATACTACCAATGCTCAGTCCTAGTATGGACCCAGTACCACTGCTTTCTCTTTCCAAGTTTACTGCATATTTTACATCAGTAAATGGTGGAATATTTTAATTTAAGACAACATGAGTTGACTGATCCACACTAAATACAGTTTCTTTGTAATAGTTTATTGTAAAATTCAACATTTCTAGAATCTGTTTTCTGAGTTTCAGTCCTAACATTGAAGCCATCGTTGCAGAAATGCAGAATTTTGCAGTAAAATGACAAAGAAACCGCATTTATCTAATGTCCCGTCATTGTTGCTCATTTGTTTTTCTGTAGAAATGTCAGCAGACAGATGTGTTGATGAAAGTTTTATTTTATATTAAATATATTACAATACTGAATGATTAAGAGGGGAGAAAAAAATATGGGGATCGATTTTTGCATCGTCAGTCTGTACAGCATACAGGCAAACTGAAAAAATAAAAATAAAAAACAATACAACTGCAGTATTTGAATTAGTACATGTGGGGGAGAGGGGTTTAAGGTTCCTGGAGCGGAGTGCCGATGGCAGGATGGGAGCAGCACGAGGCTGAAACCGGGTGGTTGGTTCGCTCCGGTACACGAATACATTCAAGTCTCTGGCCAGACGGAGCCGGAACGGTGCCGTCCCGTTTGGATGGCTCGGTCCAGGCGGATACAGCTGTACAATCACAGGAAATACTGCAGCCTGCTTGGTCCCATCCTCAAAGGAGAGTCCTCAGAGCGCGCAATGTCCGAGAAGAATATCCCGCCGTAGCACGTGATGTTAAAAAAGATTCACTCTCCTCAGCCTCGGGTCGCCCAGGAACACGACCGGGCCGCTGAAGACCAGGAAGGCTCCGGCAGAAAGGCAAAATCACGAGCCCAGACATTTTTTGTTTTTACAACATGTGTCCAAACCTTATAATCGTACAGATCAGCACATGCCAAAGGAACGACAGCTGCTATTGGCCCCGGGACATAAAAAAATCTCCATTCAAACTCACATCATTACAATAAATGCACTTAATTACTGTATGAATAGTGTCTGTACATAATGCTGAGGAAAGAAGTGAACGTTACAAAGGTACTTAATAAAATAAAATTTGAAAAAAGAAAGGAAAAAAAAAAAAAGATACTAGTAGCAATATTAGTCCAATATTGTGAAGATCATATTACCTATACAGTCCTAATGCATACATGAATTACAAATGTAAAAGTGCCCACACTGGAACGAAAGCTAAACAACAGTAAAATGACAAACATGAGGCCTTAAGACGACAGTTTTCGTAACTGTACAAAGAACTTGCTGTTGGGGATTCCGAGAAATCCGCCTTAAATAGCTACACCGGCGTGACATCGGTCAAAATAAAACCTCCAGTAGTTTTTAAACCAGTGTAGCCTGTTGTACACAAACCCATTAAGACAACAGGAATAGGCAACGAGAAGGGGGGAGGGGGGAGTCTTTCAGTGACATGCTCGATTCCCGTTTATGGTCTCACAAGTAGCCTACCAGAGAAATAACTTAATTTGATATAGAACTTGTCATGCTGTTGGTCTCCACAAGCTCAAACAGCAAGCACTGTACAGCATAGTTTTATCATTTACAAGGCTAAATATCTCAGTCATCACAGCTAAATCCAAAATGCAACCACGATTTTCCGGCTTCTTCTTCTTCTTCTCACATTCGCCGCTCTCAAACATCCCAATCAACCAATCAACCAATCAGTCAATCAATCAATCAAGGGGGTGGGGGGTTAAACTAAGCACATCCGATCGGGGGAAATTTCCAAAACCACACGAGTGGCACGTCTATAACTACACCAAACACATCTCGGTCCACTCAGGAGTTGGCACAGAAAACTATTAAAACTTTCGCTAAAAATGAATACTCGTCAGGAACCACCTGGATAACGTGCCACAACCGACAGACGTCCGTGTGTGTCTTCACAGAGATGGATGAAAATAGTGCTAAAAGAGAGGATTTTTAAAAAATAACACTTACATTCTGCTGTGGATGGAGAAAAGCTAAAGAGGTCACAGAAATAATCAGGACAAAAAAATAAAAAATATAGAAACCCAACAGCAGGGTTTCTACACTTATCTACAGAGATCTGCTTCTTTTTACTCAGCAGGAAAAAGACTTTTCTCTTTCAAAATAAAAGCAACAACATACTCTGTGTGTATTTCCCTGTACATATTTACACACACACAAACAAACCGAGGAGGGTTGTGGGGTTATAACTGGTGATAGATTATGGGTCGGTGGAGAGAAAGCCTACAGAAGGTATAAAATCGCCGCCCCCTCGCATGCTTTCCTTTCACATCGCACCATCTTCTCGGTCGGAGGAGGCTGCTGATAAACAGGGTCGTCTCATGCATGCATACGGTGTTGGGTGGGTGGGGGGGTCGGGGTGGTGGTAATGGTGGTGGTAGTGGTGGTGGTGGTGGTGGGGGTTCAGGAACAGCTCGGTCCGAGCTCCAGCTGGTCTGGAGCCGATGTGGAGCTGGATTCTCCGCCGGCGCTCCGCAGCGTCTCGTAGAAAGATCCACCGGATGACGCCATCTTGGAAAGACGACCTCGGAGACTCGCTAACACACCTCTGCCTGCGTCCTGTCCAGGTGGGGGGGCTCTCTCGCTTTCTCTTTAGTCGCTTAGAGTCAATTGTGTTTCATTTTTGTGTTTTTCATTCATAGAAAAGGAGAGACAAGTGGAGTTCTTTGAGGTCTTTTGCAGAGCGGGCTGTTATATTGAGGTTTCCCACAGCTGCGTTCACAGAAAAGAGACAGAAAAGACATTTAAACATTTCAAACTCTTTTAAAGAGGTCATGGTTAAAAAAGCAAAGAAATGCCAGCCTTCTCCTATAAAACACTTACAGAAACTTTTAGCCACCGTAAAGGCCAGTTTAAGCTTTGCTCATCCACATGTCTGCACGGGACCATATGAGATCCTCCATCATCATCACCTTTTGTAATTCATGAAGTGTCTGCTCAATCTACAACTTCAGAATTTGTCATGAAAGAGTTGCAGTTGAAGTAGTCGCATCCGAACTTGCTTGCCAGAGGTGCTTTGATTTGTATGAGTTTCTACATTCACCAGAAATCCAGTGTTCTGTCCGCCCACTGTGTTCGACACACTTCGGGGTAATCACTGGCGTGGTGATACAGTCCAATCTGCTTCATTCTTTCAAAAGTACTAACACCCACGGGAGCTTTTTGTTGATTGATATGAGGGGCAATGCGACCATCAGCAGCACACTGATGCATTTGTATTACAAATAGAACTGCATGCATCTGCATCGGTCATAACCATAAATTGGCCTCAAGTGTTCATAGTTTTGTCTGAGTAAGTTCATTAAGACATTACACATACACCTAAAGAAATATAAAGATTTGGCATCACATGTTTTTGCACTTGCTTACCTGACTAACAATAAGGTCTTATGCCATGATGGGACAACTAAATATCAGCCAGATAGTAGTGAACCTAAACATGCTTTCCATGTCTACAGTTTGTAGACACTTCCGTGGACGTCTGCATGCAGCCTAAAATTTGTGACTGGAAGAGTGCCAGGAAAACAAATGCTTTAATTCGTTATTAACAGAGCTGAAACTGAAGTAGTTGAAGATTTGTGCATGCTTTCCATTGATGGTGCCGAAACATGGTGGGAAGTTCTAAAATCTCCAGATGTCCTGTGCTATTAGCCCACTGTGCTTGATACACCTCAGGAATAATCACTGACACGGTGCTACAATCCAATCTGTAACCAGCTGCTGTATCCTGTAAAAAAAAGTCTTTTAGAAACATACACGGAGCCCCGAGTTTTTTCCTGTGTTCCATATGAGTACTTATTGGAGTATGAGTACAAGAAGTCCACATCGGTCAGCGCTGATGCATGTGCAAAGCATAAAGTGACATATTCTGATTGGTCCCATTTTTGCACAGACTAGCGCAGAATATCTACTGAAGTGCAAGTCATCGGATCATGATGGCCAAATGAATGCTATAATCTGCCTTTCAATGATGTGTTTGATACTTGCCCTGGCGCTCTGCCTGTTGGCTTTCCTCTGGTCGTCGGGGAGAGGGGGCATGGGGTAGGGGTATCTCCTGCTGGATGCAATAGATCCTGTAGAGGAGGTGGGAGACTTGGCAGGGGATAGCGTCCTGGGGAAAATGGAAAGCAGCATTAATAAACCATCGTCTCACCTTTTTAAGTCGGATTACTCGGATTAAGTTGGCCAAAGACACAGATAAATGACGAAGGTTAGATCCAAGAACTTGAGCTCATGGTGGATCTGTGACTTTGGGCAACATCCTCCGTAAGCTGGTCCGGTTTTTCAGGTTTCACCTTTCGAAAGAGAGAGGTTACCCTTAAAAGCTCTAACCTATTAAAAAGTAAACCAGTACAACTGACCTTCAGCTTTTAAGGGCAACCTCTGTATAGAGTAGTACACAGTTCCCAGCTGCGGTGTGGTCGCAGTCATAGTTTCCTGCAAGTCACTCACTGAATGTTTAACAAGCACTAACACACCGTCTGCCAGAAATATACCTTCAGCCACTGAGAAGTCCGCTAAAGGTAGCTGAAGCTGAAGCGGTGTGCTGTCTCCACAGGTTAGATCAGTGTGAGTTTAAATAACTGGGAGCAGTGAGTGTGATGAGGCGACTGGGACGGCGGATCACACCGGAGCAGGGGAAGAAAAACACACTGAGAATCCTACGGAGCGGTTCTGTCCAGTAAAACAACCGCAGAAAACCTGCCCGGTGTGCGGCGTCGGAAAGTCCTGGATCGGTGGAAGAAGTGGAGAGAGGGGAGAGAGTGGACCACTGGTTCCAGAAGAGTCTTATTCTCATCAGAAATTCATATATTAAGAGTTTTTTCTTTTAGCCATGCCAGCAACATAACTTCCTGGTCTTTGCAGGTTTTCCAGGTGTTTAGATGTTTTCAGTTCCATCAAAAAGGCTCAGATTCCTTCTTGAGCTTGTAGTTTGGCTGTTTACTGTCTGCTACTGTTCAGCAACACTGCTCCTTCTTCAGTCTGTTAAACTGATGACATTCTGTAATTCAGACAGTAAAGGCCCCTTTTAATGGTGCTTCATTCAGACAAGACAAATGACGAAGACAAAAGACTGAACAGTATATCAAGGTTCAAGGATCGGCTAATGAGCAAAAGCGTAAATCTAGTGTCCAGCTAACTAACAGAGTACTTTATTTATGATTTCCTAAACAATGGTGATAATCTAACTACTATACTTTACCAACAGTAAAACAAAAACATCCTTACAACTGTGACGGAGCTCTGAACCGAGGATGGCCGCTATTTAACAAAAGATTCAAAACAATACACTGTGACCTGACCTGATCCATTCTGTCTCCATGTCAGGGATCATTTATAACTATAAGTAACTAATGAAGTCACTGCTGTGGTGTATAAATCCAGCTGCTGCAGGTATTACTAATGCCTGATAAACTCAGAGGAGCTCAGCTGTTAGCAACAAACTAAACTTCAACTCATGTTAACCATTTAAAAAAGAAATCAAAACCTGGATTACATTCATTTATATGCAAGTCTCATTAATCTGACCTGTTGCAGAAGCTGTCTTCATCCCAGAAAAGTTGTATTTTTCTAGACATTTCAGTTTTTACCAAACTGCAGAGCAAAGTGAATGAGTGGGTCTATCCGTTAATGGGACTGCATGCGGTGTGAGGTGTTGAACGTGAGATGTTACTAAGGTTCGACCTCGAGAGATTTCAACTGTGATGTTTATGGAAAAGTATGCCGGGTGCTAGTTCAGACATGAAGCGGAAAGATTCAAATGCCGTCAGATTAACGGAAAGGAGAGGATATCTAAAAGGGGCTTTGCAGATTTGTTTCTACAGACATCTCAAGCAAGAGTGCAAAAAGTCTTGTTCTGTAACCGGGGCTCACTGATTTAAATGCTCCACGTCTCTCCCTTCTTTTTCTATCCTTGAATCGATGTTTTAACACAGAGAGGGTAAGGAAAATGTTCCTGGACACAGTGAAGGTCTATAGATTCAAGTGCTGATTGAATGTTTGGTTTAAGTGAAGGTGTGTTTGCATGGGACCGGTGCGCTACAGAACCGATGTGCCCATGGGCTTCCCCGTTGTTGAGGAAGCCTCGTGTTTATGATCATCTATAGACCTTGGACGCGATCAGAGAGTTGGTCTACGGTTTACGGTCACAGCAGCACAGTGATGATGTCACAGCGGCGCCCGAAAACATCCGGCTCGGCAGTGACATCACACTGTCGCGAAGGCACGTGAGGTCACTGGGAGGGAGGCGAGGCCGACACACAAACACAAACACTGAACATGCAAAGGTAACGACAGACTGAGGAAGGGGAGCAAAGAAGGGAATAAGAAGAAATTAGGAACAAAATTACTGCTGTATAGCCTTATGATAGCATTTATTTGTTTTTGCATCGATGCAATGAAGCAGAAAATAAAAATCTGCAAATTAAAAGGCAGCTGTCTGTGTAGATTCCCAGTCATCCAGGTCATGGTAATCCTAAGAGCTTCAGTAGAAGGCAGCTGGACTTCTCTCTTAAGTCGTTGAAGACATTTCACCTCTCATACAAGAGGCTTCCTCGGTTCAAACCAGCTGGTTGGGAGTCACAGGCATTTGTTCTCACACCTAAATCACGAGTCATTCTCATATGACGTAAAAGGTGGAAAATCTGCCTGGAGAGGGAAGACTCATGGTGTTGATGATGATGAAACTGCCTGAAGAGGCTGGACTCAAGGGGCTGATGGTTGTGAAACTGCCTGGGAATGTATGGCTGATGATATGAAACCGTTGAAGTAGATGGCTCAATCTTTACTGGTGGTGAAACTACCTAGGGAGGGATGGCTCATTGGGGTGAACTATGTACTGAGGGGTGACCCATGGTGATAAATCTGCTGAAATTGCTTGGGGAGTAATGTCTTATGGTGTTAATGGTGATAAACTACCTAGGGAGGGATGACACATGCCAATAATAATGAACAAACTTCCGGGGAATGGTGGCTTGTTGTGTAAATGAGTGTGAAACTGCCTTGGGAACGATTAACAAAGTAGAGGAAGGGGTGTTCAATATGTTAATGGTGGTGAAACTGCCAGGAGAAGGTTGGCTCATGGTGTGAAATGATATAAAACTGCTCAGGGAGGGGTGCCTCATGGCATTATTGTTGATAAAACAGCCAAGGTAGGGTTGGCTTGTAGTGTGAATTGATGTGCAACTGCCTCAGGATGGTTTGACCCAAAGTGTTGCTGTTGGTGAAACTGCCTAGGGATGGATTGACTGAAAGGGTTAATGGTGGTGAAACTCCTCAGGAATGGCTTAAGGTGGTACTTGTGGTTGAAACTGGGAAAGAGACACTCATGTTGGTGATGGTGGTGAAACTGTCTGGGGATAGATTGACTGAAGGTGTTGCTGTTGGTGAAACTGCCGGGGGATGGATGACCCATTGTGATAATTACGGTGAAACAGCCTAGGGAGGGATAACTTAAGGGGTTAATGGTGGTGAAACTACACAGGAAAGGCTTAAGGTGGCACTTGTGGTTGAAACTATGAAAGAAAGACTCATGTCTGTAATAGTGGTGAAACTGCCCCGGGAGGGATGACCCATGGTGTTAATAATGATAAAAGTGCCATGGGAGTGTTGGTCTATGGTGTGAATTGATGTGAAACTGCCAAGGGATGGACTGACTCAAGGTGTTGCTGTTGGCAACACTGCCAAGGGATGGACTGACTTGATGGATGAATGATGGTTAAACTCCCCAGGGAAGACTTAAGGTGCTACCTGCGGTTGATACTCGGAAAGGACAACTCATGGTGTTTTTATTTATTTATTTGTTTATTTAGACGGGACAGTGCGTATTACTGTACATGTAATCTCAGGTTGTAGTAAATACGCCGGATTTAGCACAAGGCTAATTTCCATCCGGTGTCCCACACATTCATAATGATAAAACTGCCTGGGGGGTCTTTAGACTGTGCTCTGAGTACTTGATAAGCACTGCTACAGTATTGCAATGAACCCTGCAGTTTCACGACAATTCACACCTTAGGTAATCCCTCCCGTGGCCGTTTCACTTCCACTATCACCTTGGTACTTTCATATCCAGCCACACTTTGAGTGAGTTTTGTGAGTCTTAGCTGTCAACAGGCTCTGAGCCATGTGTTTTGGGGGTTGAGAATAAATAGCTGGAACTCCCCACCAGTCACTTAGAACTGAGGAAGCCTTTTGGAGAGGTTAAACGTCTTCAAGAACTATAAAAGAAGTCCGGTTTCTTTCTGCTGAAACACTTAAGATTAAAATGCAGCAATTTAAAAATAAAAACTGTCTTCAGGTAGAAAATTCTCAGTGGCGACCCCTTTCTGAAAAGTCCAACATGCCAGCTGTCGATAACACTTTCTCTGAGATGTGACGTTAGAGCTTCTCCAGAAAAAAGACCCTAAATCTTACTTTCCAAACCACAAATTAAAACCAAAGGTGAGGGAGTTTTAGACAAGCGTGTGGGGTACAGGACATGGTCTGAGGTAATACCTAAGGTAAGGTCCTTGAGTGTTTCTATTCACATCTTCTACCCATTTAGTTACATCATAAAACTCTGTTTTGAAGCGAGGGGTTAAATACCTGTGGGAGGGGGAGGGGGGGAGTTAATGGACACAACACAAGGAGGGGGGAGAAGAGAGAAAAGTAAATGAAAAGGACAGAAAATCTCCAGAAATAAGCAAGTGTGGGGAGGAGGGGGGGGGGAGAGAGGAAGAGGAAATATTTTAGGAAAGCAGAGCAGAGCAAAGATATTCTGAACAAGATGCAATTGAGAAAATGGTGAGAAGATGGCGGACAGACCTGTGCGTGGTCTCAGACGACAACGGCACCATGACAATCACAAACAACTGTGTGGTGTGTCGCAGGCTCAGTTGCACATTTGGTCACATCATTCCAAGCAGTCGGCTTCTCAGTCAGTCTCATGCTCATAACGAGGTAAACAGGTTGCACGACACACTACTTCACATACGCCTTCGAAACCCGACAAACAGACAAAGCGAGGCGCCAGGCCGGGAGGCAGCCGATGCACTCTGCTCATTCACAGTCAGCAGGCACAAACACCGGACTCGTTCACGGGCTCTGAGGTAAAGACTTAGAAGTGCAATGCAGACTCACAATCCAGACACGAGCTTAAGACAGACATGATCTCACTGTCTCGTGACTTTCAAGGCTCAGTACTATTTATACCGCTCTCTATATCTGATATAAAACCTAAAGACAAGCATTTTGAGAGTTTTTTTCCCCTTTGTTACAGCCTTTAAAGGATAATGACAATTCTGGATTTTATCTTTCAATACATTTAACAAAAAGACCAAAACTTTTTTTTTCTGTGTGTGCAGCCACAACCTGTCCAAACATTATTTAACCCTCTGAACCCTGAGCTTTTTTTTTTCTTTTTTTTAAAAAATCCTGTCACATTTTTACTCACCGTGGGCTCATTTTTTACTGCAAAATAAAGTCCTGTGTCTCTATGGAAACAGAACAACCATGACTAGAAGGAGAGAGAACTGAATAAAGTCTTCTGTGCAGAATGACACAGGTACAGCATACGAAATAAGCTGAATATCCCAAAAATATGGGAAAAATCTTTCCTAATGCCCACAGGTGTTAGCAATACTGGAAAAACATGGTGTTTCTCCATACTATAGATATTTTACTTACATATTTACAACCTCCACAAACCCTTTCTCTCTACTTGTTTCCCCATGCTGAATGCATCCTCCAACAACTTCCTGTATACCATTTTAAAATGATGCTGCATTTATTTTATTTACAATTAATCTGAGAACTCTCTGAATTTTTGTCAAGTGACCGTTGGTTTCAGCTGAGTCAGTCACAGCTTCTGAGTTGTACCAAGGAGCGTAGAACTTTTTGTTTTTACAGGATCTGGTGCAAACATTTATTTTTAGCAATTTGTTTCTAAATGAGACGTGTAGAATAAAGTGCTTTTTCTCAATTATTACACGTTTGGGCTTAGATCTGGTTGTTTTCCAGGTGGAACTGCACATTGAACATGATATGTTCAAGGATTGCTGGAAAATTCTAAAGATTTTTTCTATTTTTACAGTTTCTGGCACTGATAAATGGTGTGATTGTGGTGATTTTTTTTAAGATAACATGCATTTTGGGATTCAGAGGGTTAAAAACACTATTGCACCGTTACAAAGACGCTGTTTGAGTTTATTCCTCATCGATTCTGAGTTAATCCAAAGCAAATAGTTCCTAACAAATACAACATTTGCTCCTCTTTGCTTTACATTTCTTAAAGAATTCAGTGAACACATGTTTTCTGAAATTATTTTGCCTTCTTTCAAATGAAATTATAAATTTTGTACCTTTTTAAAATGATGAACAAACATCAGGAGGAACCATAACGATAGTTAAATGAAGAGAGTCTGACTAAAACATTGTTTGTTTTGGTCTTTTTGTGCGATAACGGCAGATTTATCCTTTAAAAGATCCTGATCATTCTGTTTTCCGCTGAAACATAAACTGTTCGTTGACTTTACAACACGTTCGGCATCCAACCAGGAACTTACTCTGTGGAGTTAGAGCGAGCGCGGAACTTCTTTCCTTTCAGTTTCTTACGATTGCCGCTCAGGTTTCCTGCAGAGACACACAACAGAAACGCACACCTTTAAATACAAACACATACAATAACATGCAAAATACTTATTGGTGTTTTAATGCAGGGAGACGACGTGGGAGCAGTTCAGTGATGCCACGTTTTATCTACGCTAGTTGAAATATAGTGAAGTGATCAAGACTTTATCACAGTTTTTCTGTCTCTGTTTTAGGAGAACAAACAAACTGCAGTCTTTCTTTCAACCATAAATCTGATTTATTTGGATCTTAAGCGCGACTTTAGCAGAAAGTCATGTACAAGCAGTTGTTACAGTTTGTGTTCCAGCCTGCAGGGAACTTTGCATGAGTTTTGTGAACAATAATGTTATCAGATAAAGGATTAAAGATGTACGGTGTTTTTAATGAAGAACAGGATGTGATGTTCTATGAATAATAATGGGGAGACAGAATTAAACCTCAGCAGTTCTTGTTTTCCTTGTAGTTTAAGGTCAGACCATTTCTTTTTAAACAGTTCTGTCTTTCTGCTCCACCTGCAGCAGCGACACACTCTGCTCAGTCCACCAAGTAATACATATTTCCTGGCTTCAGGCTCCTCCATCTCTCTGTCATCTCATCTTTAGAGAAGTTTTGTCTTCACTTTTCATGGCTATTCCTGACTAAACCCTCATTTGTGCTGGCAGCATATGCACGGAAATTGTAAGACAGGTTTAGCCGATTTTAAATTTTGTCGCGAGGACATTCTCCATTCATCATTAGAAAAGAGTTGGAATTGAAATAGTCGCTGCTGGACTTTGGAGATGCTTTAATTTGTACAAGCTTTCCATCAGCAGAACCCAAACACAGCAGGAAGATCTAAATTCTCCAGAAGTCTCGTGCTACTGACGTGGTGTGATGTCCTGTAAAAACAGCAAAATCACAGCCTTCCGGACACATTCATGGAAGCTCAGAGGGTTTTTCTGAGTTCTCTATGAGGGGAAATGCAACCATCTGCTCACGAGACTGATGTGGACCCGTCGCAGAATAATCAGAACCTCAAGTTGTCCACTTTCATAGTCCACATCAGTCACGCAGAAACCGGAAAGCGAGGTCTTCTGTGCTCTGAATTTTTCAATAACTATGACTGTCAGGAGTGATCTGAAGACAAAGTTCTAGTATAAATCTAAGAGGATTCTTATCAGTGAGTGCCGGAGAAGCGTGACTGCTGTTGTGCGTTACCTTGCCACGAGTTGCTCCTCGGCCTTCCATTTTCACAGATGTCCGAGATATGTTTGGCGTCTGGAATCCTCTCGCTCCACGAGTGGGACAGTCCGTTAGATCTGCACATACGAGAACACCACGAACAAAACAGATCAGAAAGGTTCCTCTGAGCGAGTCGAGACGAAGGAAACGCTGTGAGGTGAACGACGGAGAAGATGGACAACATTATGAGCCATGATGGCAGCGTCATGGCAGCTGAATATGAAATGAGAAACAGAAACAGTCATAATGTTCAGAAATACGAGCATTTTGGTTCACGTCCAAAATATTTACAGATAAGGTGACATTTAATGAAAGCCGTGAGAGCAACGAAGCGTGAGCTCAGCTTGACCGCTGATTTAGAGAATCCAACACACAACCAAACACACAACAGCCAGCAGATGAATGAGTGATGATGATGGCACACCTGAAGCCAAACACTGAGATGTTCTGAGAAATGGATGGGATGGAGGGAGTGAAGGACAAGGTGCAAATCTGCAGGTGGGACAGGCAGGCTGACCTCTTCTTGGAGCTGCAGCCCGAGTTGGTGCTGACGCCCGGAGGCATGTCGCTGTAGAAAGAGTCGGCGTCTCCAGGCTTAGTGACGTAGTCGCCTGGAGGGATTTGTCTGGAAATACAGAAGGAGCTTTCAGACTGAACACCAGCAGAGGAACCAGAAACCTGCAGATGTTCTCAAAACGGTATCTATCGCTGGTTTATTGTTTTTTGTTCCGATAATAAGACGTGTTCCCTGTCTTCAATCTGACTTGTGTTGTTGGATGAATGTTCACTTATTGCACTCGACTGCATCCAGTCAACACATCCTCAGGCTGTGATGCATGAAAATGGGCATTTTTGTTTCTATTTTGTTTCTATTTCAGGTGTCAGATTTTTTATTTTTTTTAATTAGAACTCAATACATTTTTTTGTTTCTATGTTTTGTTTCTATTTTGTGTCTATTTTTCAGGTGTCAGATTTATTTTTTTTATTTTTTTTTATTTAGTGGTACACATTTTTTGTTTCCAAAAAAATAAACAAGAAAACCAAAAAAAAAAAAAAAAGAAAAAAAATGTGTTTCTTGCAAATTCCTTTTTATCTCAGTGTTTTAATGACAGACAAAAAAAGTAGGATTATCTTGTTTTCCTGCTTTGAAACCAATAAATAAATAAATAAATAAACAAATAGACCAGTTTTTAGTATTATTATTGTATAAAAGTCCAAATCAAAAAAGCCACGATTCCTGTTTTTGTTGTGAAAAATGAAAAAAAGTAAAAACTGTTTTTCCATTTTCTGGTTTTGAAATGAGGAACAGAAACTATTTTTTTCATGTTTGAATTACAAATGAAGCGCAGATTATCTGATGATTCTTGGACCATGTACTGTGACCTTTACATTACTATTACTGACAGATTATTATCTTTAAAATAGTTTCAAAGTAGTGTGCTTGGTTGTCTGTCTCTAAGTGTGGCCCTGCGATAGACTGGTGACCTGTCCAGGGTGTCCCCTGCCTTCACCCTAAGTTGGCTGGGATAGACTCCAGCCCCCCATGACCCTCGTGAGGATTAAGCGGTGTATAGAAAATGGATGGATGGATAGTTTCAAAGTCACAGCTTTAAAATGCAACGCGTGAAAAGCGGAGTTAAAGTGAGCAAACCGGCAGAATCTTCGCTGAACCTCGGACTCGACGTAACGTTTCTGCTTGTAGCTCCTGTGAAGAGAACAAAGTCCTTATTACAGTCCATCAGTGGTTTTATTTTTGAACACATCTGTTGCAACATCACACATTTAGTTAAACCCCAAATCAGTAATACCTTTGCCAAATTTAGATTTATTCTACATTCTAATTTGACCGACAGGTTTCTTCTGCTTCTAAATGACAAACGAGTGACAACAGACATTCAAAGTCATACAACACTGAGTCCCAAATCGCTGCATTTTTTAAAGACGACGCCACGCCACAGTACATTAAAGTTGTTGTAATCAGTTAAAAGTATTTGCTGGATCACCAAAGAGCTCAGAAATGCATGATATGTTTATTTCCCAAAATAACCCAGTAAACAAACTGAAATATGTCTTAATAGCTCTTATCACAATTCCCACTGATGCTGCATTACAGCTGTAAAACTACAACACTAGTTTAACCTCAAATTGGTGGAAAAGATTCACTTTACTTAGATTAATATTTACATTTACACACTACAACAAGTAAAAAGAACCAGTTTGTTAATACAGCGTTGTAGTAAAGTTTGCAAACTAAAATGATCTGAACAATATAAATAAAAATATCATTTGCAACAGTACTTTTCTTAATAGTTGGTGCAATATTAGGGTCAGTCTCATGAGTACTGTTTTGTTTTCATGTGAAATATTTGATTTTGTGTGCAATATTTCATTTTTAAGATGCAATATTTCAATTAGATGTAATATTTCGTTTTCATGGCCAATATTTTATCATCATGTGTGGTGTAACTTTACTATTTTAGTAACATCAAGTTAGTATTACCTTTTTTTTTTTTTAAATTTAGTAATGCATCCTACTTAAATGTTATTGCTTTTCTCTTAGGCCCTGCTTTTATACTCATGTTATGCAGTTTTTATTTGTATTTATTTTAATTTCCTTCAGGATTCCTAAAGTCCTACCTTATGTTATATGATCCTGATGCTGATTTCAGTTTTTTTCTCAAAAAATTGTGACAATTTCTGAGTGGATGACAAGTTTCACATGCAAAAATGTAAAAGAAAAAAAGTTAAAATTCATAATTAACATTGCTAATACGGTGTTTCACTGTCATTTGTTATTTGTTTATGTCATTTCCAGCCAGAAGAAACCTGTTGGTCAAATAAAAAATCCCTGTAAATCTAAATTTGGCCTTGCAATGAAGAATTTTGGGTTTAACTGTAAAGAAAAAAAAAAAAAGAAGAAAGAAAAAAGGAACTCACTTGAAGCACCAGGCTGTGACGGCCAGGATGAGGGCGAGGAAGAGGATGGAGCCGGCGATGGCCCCGATGATGATGTTGGTGCTGGTGATACCTGAGACAGAGGAGCAGAGCAGAGCGGCAAGACAAATGTGTGTTAATTGGATCTCTGGTATCCTGAGCGATGCAGACACATGGGGATACACAAACCACAAAACACTGCAGCAGAACACAGAAACACAGCACATTGAGCAGGAGGAGTTCAACGGGAGAACACGGGGGAGTAAACTGAGAACCACCAAACTGCTGCCACCATTCAGCTCTACTCTGAGGGGAAAACTACAGAAACGGAGCATTTTCCGTTTAAAGTCATTCACCAACCGACTGCGGTGAGCTGGAGTCGGTGTGAGAGAGGAGGAGGACCAGGAGTCACACCAAAGACGGGACAAACACAATGAAAAATGAACTCAAATCTGACCTCAAGTCACTCCGTCAAAGACATCGGCCTGTCGACAAAGAATGAGTGTGAAAATAATGACAAACAAAAAGAATGACATGCATGGTTCAGTGAATACAGCTGGTTTGAATGAGCGGACGTGAACACAGGCGCTAAAATAAAGAGAAACGCAGCAAAACGAAGAGGAGATATTTCGTGGATTTGTGAGGGGAAGGAACGGTTAATAAAAGAAGAACCAAAAGAGTCGAAGTGGGCTGGAGAGCGGTGGAGAGGTGAAGGTGTGGAGAACAGAAAATGGGATGAACAGGTGGAGAGCGTGTTGAGTGAATCTACCTGAAACAGATGCAGTAGGTCCAACCACTGGGTAACTGAAAGGAGACATGGAGTTACAGTCGTCTCCCGCCCAGCCCAGGTAACACACACACTTCAGCTCATTACTGCACACCTGCAGGATCAAGATTAAACACACAAGAGTTAAAAAAACATCTTTAATTTTGGCCTTCTTCCTGCATGCTTGTTGTCTCCAACACCTGAAAGCTAAATCCCTGCAGTTAACGATCAACAACAACAAAAACGATCAGATATTATCAGAAATCCCCTTTTTAAAAAAATATTTTATTTTTTCTGAAACCCAAAAGCTGCAGCGGATTTGTCCCTTTTTTTTTTTTTTTTTTTAAATACCAAAATAACCCCCAAATACAACCCTTATTGCATTTTGAGGGACTTTGGGCTGTGATGGGAACATTGTCCGCCAGCTCTAGTGGAATTCCTTTTTTTTTTTTTTTTTTTAAACATCAAAAAAATACAGTTTATCAGAGCAAACTGTAAAAACAGAAAAGTTGTCCAACAGTCTTTAAAGTAATTGTGTCAAATGTAGTTTTGTTGTGAAAATTCATCTAATCGAAGCTCAAAATTGTCATATTTTCTTAAAAATCCATTTATTCTGCATGTCTTGTTTACAATTTTGCCAAAATTAAAGCATTTGCTTTAACCAGAGTCTGCAAAAATTGAAAAATTCTGCACTTCTTGGCGTAACACGTGACAAATTTTTCAGGTGAACTGCAGGCAGTGTTTCCGCAGAGCAGAGAGGAGATGACAAGAAAAACGGGAAGAAAAAAAAAAAAAACGGAACAAATGAAAAAAAGCAACAAGGCCCAAAAAAAAGGGAAAAAAGAACCAAGTGGTGGAAGATACATTCAGCATGGTGAAATATCTTTCTGTAGTTATTGTGCAGAGTAGTGGGATAAATGCTGAGTTTGTAAAGGCTTTAAAAATCTACGCAGGAAAATATCTGCAGTATGTGGAGGCACCATTTTATGTCCACATGTTACCAACATGTGGACACTTAGAAAAATGTTGCATAAAATAAGAATCTAAGAAATTCAACTTTTTTCCCCCCTTTTGTAATGATTTATGGAATTATATCTGTGCCATTCTGCACAGAAGACATTTCCGAGTTCTCTCTTCTTCTAGTCATGGTTGTTCTGTTTCCACAGAGCTGCAGGACTTTATACTGCAGTGAAAAATGAGCCCAAAGTGAGGAAAAATGTGACTGGAGCAAATAAAAAGGCCAGAAACTGCTTGGGGGCTCAGACGGTTAATTAAGGATATTGTTAGAAAAGACCCAGTTTGAGGTTTTAAAAGCGGTACAAATGTTTAACATTGTGCCGCCACTGATACATTAACTAGCATTCGGGTTGTTAACAAAACTTAGCCAAGAAAACTAGACCTTGTGTGTCAGAAATTCTTAGTCTAATCTGTGGTCAGGTGCTCTTGCATAGTGTTGTTTTCATCCCAAAAGTTGATTAATCAAAAACAGAAAAGAACCTTGATTTAAAAGAACAGTTTCAGCTGAATGTCTAAATGCTTGTGTTCAGTGTTGGTTCGTACCCCGTGTCCGGAGCAGATGGATTTGTCCGTGGTTCCGGGGCAGGTGCTGAAGTTGAACTGTTGGACCGGGAGGCATTTGTGGTTGAAGCAGATGCTGTCAGTTCCGCAGGCTGTTCCGTCCTCCACGTACCCCAGATCGGAGTCTCCGTCGATCACAACGTGAGCGCCGCTGCAACAGCAAACGTGAATAAATCAGTCGCAAAGAACTTCTTATGAGAAGGACAAGAAGTCTTTCAGTTCATGCAAGAATTTGTTCTGGAGTTCCACAGGGCTCTGTGCTTGGGCAGATACTTTTCACCTTCACATGTTCCCTTTATTGGAAAACACTGAACAAACTTCCTTTGCTATGCAGATGACACACAACTGTATTTGTCTATAAGGCCAGATAAAACAAATCAGTTACTTCAAGTGTGTTTTAAAGACATAAAGGCCTGGATGATAAATTCTTATAAATTCAGATTAAATTTAGGTATTTGGCTCTAAACGCCTTGAAAATGTAAACACATCGTACCCTTTGGTCGAAGCTGCAAGTTTCTCATCTGCAGTTACTGTCCTCACCAACCTTCCCATTGTTAACTGTCCTCTTATGCATTGCTTATCTACTTTCTTTCCCGTTTACCCTCCTCCCAGCTGGAGGCCAACGTCCACCCTCCCTGAGCCTGGTTCTGTGGGAGGTTTCTTCCTGTTGAAATTGATTTTTGATTTTTCCTCCCACTGTTTTCAGAGTGATTTGCTGGACTTTTCTCTGTAATCTAATAAGTTCAAGTCTTCACCTTACTATGCAAATTGCCCAGAGATGACTTATACTGTGTCTTATTGAACAATCCAAATCTTTAGTTTGAAACTTTTTTAGTGTGGCAGGTTGCTGCTTGGAGGTCGTTATTGCTTCTGGTCATGAAAGCAATTTTGACAACTCTAACTTGTATAAGGGGAAGAAAAAGCTATGAGAAATGAACCATGGAAACGGCAGGCTTAGACTTGAATTGAGTCAGACTATGTGCTTTATAAACAATTCAGACACACGAGGAAATTATTGTTTGGTATGTAAGCCTGGTTATACTTTTTTATCCTGAGGAGATTGACACCGAAACCTGACACTGATGTGTTACTCAACAATCAAAAGTTTGTCATTTTAGCTAAAAGTAAGAGTTTTTTTGTATGTGGAAGTCCAGGACCAGGAAGAAAATGCTACCAGCAAAATCACCAACTGTCATTTTTAGTCTGTTTGCTTAGGCTTATGGTTCGTATCCACAGGATCCGTCTCTTCAGTGCTTCCTATTTGTTGTCTATGGGAGCTGCCATACAATCCGTTCTGGTAGCGTTTCCTGTTTCTTATCTGCATAAAATAGAGGTCTCAGCTACTTTGTGCAAATGAAGAGCGCCAAACCTGATCTGTTGCCTGTGGAAACTTTTGGAAAACTCATTTTGTTAATCTAAAATGAAGACAGATTCAGCAGCTTATTTCTTGCCTCCCACGTTTTCAGACATTTTTCGGAATAAAAGTTTCCGAGCCATGTTGGTCGTGTGCAGCCAGTGTTTGCAGAGTCGTCTACATCTAATGTTGGGAACTCATTGCATCTAAACCAAAGGGAAGTCTTTGCACATCTCGAGGTAGGTGTGTGGGAGAGGAACGAGCACATCCAGCAGGTACAAAAACAGACTCCTGCACAGTGTCTAATTTGCAATCAAATTTATTAAAGCAACGTTTTGGTCATAGACTTTCATCAGGCGGTGTGGTAGTCTGTTTTCGGACCCACTGCATCTAAAAACGCCACTGTAGACGTGAGCATCAGTCTGACTCTCTGGATGTAGTCTGTGGGTATAAACCTGTCATTTCCATCACTGTTTTCTCCTCGCCTTTCACTGTCTGCAGATTACTATTTTTAAAATTCCCCCAGCTACAGGAAACAACAACAACAACAACCTCCGAGCTGCAACCTAGATACTGAAAATGGCAAGTTTTGCCTCTTTTAGATGAAGCAGTAAGGCAGGCCTGCTTGTTTTTCATTAGTCTATTTATTTATTTATTTTTTTTACATATACTAGAATCTTTGCAATATTAGAATTTCTCTGCTTACGGGACAATTGTGCAAAATAGACTAAATCTGTGCAATATCAGTCTTTCTACTTATGGAAGAGTCTGTGCTATATCATTCATATGTGCAATATTATTATTTTCCGGTGCAAAATCTGAATGTGTACATAACACAAAGGGAAGAATCAGTACATATGTATATTTTTTGGTTTATTTTTCGTGTCTACTGATGTTCCCGTCATGCTTGCACTGTCTCCTTTGCTGCTGTAATACTGCCAGTTTCCCCACTGTGAGATGAATAAAGGTTGATCTTAGTTCATCCTGTATGTTATGCCGTGCAAATGTTCTGCCAAAACAGTTCCACTCGTCACTATATATTTTGTGCAGGGGCACCATCACTACATCTTGGGCTTAGTGCCGCTGCATTGGATTGTGACTGACGCTAGAGCATTTTTTCTCTGCAGACAGATCATTCTAAAACACTAACACACCGTTGTGGAGGTACATCTGGATATGTGAGGCTAGTTTGAGAGTTCAACGCTTTTTTTTTGTAGCATACCTGCAGTCCAGGGAAGCGCTGTGTCGGGCCACTGAGAAGGAGGTCAGTCCTCCCTGCAGCTCTCCCAGTCGGGGGGCAGGTGAGATGTTGGAGCACAGCAGGTATCCGCAATGAACATCCCTGAAACACGAATACAGATCAGTCGGAAAGAATAACCCAGAAAGTGCATCAGGCGTTGCTCGTAAAGGAGACGGACTTACTGTTTGTTGCACTGGATCCACGTGTCCTTGTCCTTCCCACAGTTGCCTTTCTCTGTCCCCTCGATGTTGAGCTTTTCGTAGCAGAACTTGTCGGCTGCCGTCGCCTCTGAGGGAGGAAACAACACAATCAGCTTTATGTCTGGTGCTTCATGGAGGTTGTAACTACATTTACTTGTGGAGGATCGCTACTGCAGAGATGCATGTGAGAAAGCAGACTTACTCTCTCCCCAGATGTATTTGCACTGTCTGTCTTTGGTTTTGCACCTTCCGTTAAAGCAGCGCCCCTGTAGAGAGAAATTGTATAACTCTTAATAAACACCCCTATCTTTTTAATGTAAAACACTCTCAGATATTCTAAAGAACATCTTACTTGGTCTTTTTCACACGTGTAGCCGTCCATCTTGTGCACATTTGGTGGACACTGTAAGAAACAGAGACGAACTTAAGACTCTGTGAAGTGAATCTGATTATTAATAAATCTTTATAGCTGCAGAAAATTGCGTTTAGGGAAGCAGACGCCCACCTGGCTGGAATTTCCGGTGCAGTTTTCTGGGATGTCGCAGTCATTTACTGCGTCTCGGCACACGACGCCCATGTACTCCATCTGCAGCAGCACAAGCTCATATCAAACAGACTGCCAGTGGTTTTGTGTTTGAGTTGCACCTTCTGCTGTTTCTTTTGATTCCCCACATCACAAGTCAATCTTCTCGTCAAAAACGCCCACATTTATTGACTGTGATTTTTATTTTAGGATTAGTTGGTGTTTAATTGCTGCTATTCTCATTTCAGAGGAGACTGAAGAGAACATTTTTGGTTTGTTCAGGCAAAAAAAGTATTTGAAACTTCGTGCTGGTGGCTCCATTTTTACTGAAATTATGAGCAATTTTTTAAAAGTTAGACAAGTATGAAATTAATAGAAAAACAAACAGCATTTGCCACTTTGAGAGCAAATACTGCATGTTTTTAGGGGGCTCCTCTGTCAGTTTGGTGTCCTCAACAGTCTGTTTAACCCACTCTGACGGTACAATAACGAAATGTGCAGCTTTGTACCTGGCAGCTGTTGCAGCAGAGTCCGTTGCTACAGTTGGATCCTTGAGTCAGGGTGCAGTTCTTACAGCATTTATCTCCTTCTCTGGCACACTCCTGCAGGACAAACAGAAAAGCAGAAGCTGCTCTAAGTTGTCTTCTTTGGATTTAATCCTCTGAACCCCATTCATGAGACTCAGAAACTGTAAAAACAGGAACATTTGTGGATTTTCAACTTTGCAACAGCCTTGAACTAATTAGGTGTGATGTGCAGTTCATTTGAGAAAAGCAAAAAAAAAAAAAAAAGTTTAAGCTTAGAATCAAGACATTTCATCAAAATCTCAGTTAGGAATTTTCCAAAAATAAATAGTTTGCACCAAATCTTGTGTGTGACAAAAGTTCAGGGACTATTCAGCTGAACTGCAGACAGTGTTTCCACAGAGCAGAAAAGAGACGGCGAGAGAGGAAAATACTTTCACAATTTCTTTCAAGAAAATCTCATAAAACTCCACAAACTCAACAACTTACTGATCTACTTTCACGTCTTACTATTTAATGCTCTGAACCTAAAACATCTGCTGGCAAGTTGGATCGACGAGCTATGTTTTTTTTTTTTTTTTAAAACAATTCACAATTTGTCATATCAACAAACTCCCAAAACTGAAAGAACAGAGACGGAGTTGAACTAATCATGTGCGATATGCTGAAAATCTTATTTCTTCATCGTCTTGTTTAAAAATTCACCAAAAACCACATTTGTACGATCAAGATTCTGTCAAAAAAAAAAAAATAAATATTGCGTTCCCCATTGCAACTGTCACGCATTAGTGATTTAGCTGTGATCAACAGCTATGAGACAGAAATTCAGAGAGTTCTCGGATGAACTGCAGGCAGTGTTTTCACATAGCAGAAAGGTGAATAAAACATACTGGATCAATAAAATAAGTGCAGCACGGCACAAAAGCAGTACACAGAGGAGCAAGTTGATAGACGATACATCTAGCATGGTGAAACATCTTCCTACAGCTGATGTGCAGAAATGAATGAATGCAGAAATGGTAAAAACAGTGAAATATCTTCAGCATGTAACGCCACCGTTTTCCAGTGTTGGTAACCACTGAAAACGCTGTAAATTCCAGGTTTTTCAATATTTTTATAAAGCAAGACTACCTTTATTTATTTATCTTTTTATGTGATTCATAGCCTTGCATCTGTGCCCTGCTGCACATTAAACATTTCTGAATCCTCTCTCCTTCTTAATGGTTGTGCAGGATATTGCAGTGAAAAACGAGCCCACGGTGAGAGAAATGTGTGTCCTCTGTCACATAATCCGACAAACTCCATGCATATGTTAATACCGTGCATTCAGTGACTTGATTTCTCCAGTGAAATTACTTCACTGTGTCAAATTACCTCCTGTTTAGAGTGCAGAGACACAGCAGGAGGTCTTGCTGGCTGCTAATTAGACCGTGCCTTATAAATGAATTCTCCTTATTTGCATCATTTCATGCATTTATCCCCAGCACTTGAACTCACCGCCGGGCTGCCGCAGTCACACTCTTCTCCAGGCTCCACGAAGCCGTTGCCACATTCTGGAGGATCCAGCAGCTGCAAGTGCAAAACGGATCAAATTAATATAAATATGCACATTATTACTATCGTTATATGCATGTACAGCATGTGTGTGTGAGTGCCATGTACCTTGAGAGGTTTGTTGAACAGACAGGCTCCTCCACCGCTGTTCAGAAAGTTATAGTACTCCTCCACGTTGCAGTCGGAGAACTTCTTGGGCAGGTAGAAACTGTTCAACACAACCACAACATCATGCCGTTACTGTGGATACAGCATCCCAGATATAACTGTGAAAGAGAGACACTTTAATACCACTTTAGGCCTCTGTACACATACAAACTGTCTATGTCGCACCCTTTAACTTAATTACATGTTCACTTTTACAGTTTTTCCAGACATGGGCATTGAAAATAATCATATAATATATAATTAAGTTTGCATTTTTACACCAAAGACACCATAAATATTGAAGTCTTGGGTTCACCATACTCACAGTTCAGAGGAGATCCTTATAATAAAATGGGAACAGATACACAGCACAGCTAATATAGTGATGATAACATGAGGACACATGTGGGATGTAGATGGAGCCTAAGATGCATTGTTTTTACTTTAGCCTTAACAATGGTCCGCTTTTAAGGCAGTTATTGCATCATCATTTGATATTCACATATGTTCATATTTAACAGAAATCATACTTGACTGACAGTTGAATCAATTTTTGAATGCATTCAAAGCTAAATGCCACATTCAACTCCTCTGAGCAGCTCTTTGAGATTATTCTCTTCTGCTGCACTAATAATTCAGATTTATCTCGAGTGGTCTGGACAATGCAATAACAGAGAGCCCCACCAAGAGAAAGTCGGGGGTTGGAAGTTCCTATTTCATATGTAATGAGACTAGATGAAGCCGCCTACAGCGGCGGGGGTGGCTGCATAATGACGATGGATGAAGCGCACTACAATATTTCAGAAAGATTTCCTGAACTAATCGGGTTTAAAGTTGTCCCACTTTGTCACGTGGGATGCTTGAACTCTAAATTTGTGCTGAATCTTATCAAAATCTTGTAGTTCTCATCCCCTTTTCAGACAATAACGAGGGGTGAAACGAAGATGAAACATGCTCCAGTGATTCATCCGTGAACAGAAGAAATACAAACATCACCACATGGAATCGTAGCATTACTCAGCCGTGAGAAAGACTCTTTATTTCACAGTGTATACAATCAAGGGGTCAAAATATGTATAAAATAAGAAGTGCTGCATTTTAGAGCTGCAACGATTAATCGATTAATCGATTAGTTGTTGAGCAATAAACTAATTTCAGTATCGCTTAATCAGTTTCAGTCATTTTGTTTAAAGAAAACCTGTCTAAATTCTCTGTTTTTAGCTTCTCAAACTTGAGCAAATTCTGGTTTCTTTTCTCCTTTGATGATAAATTTAATAAATTTGGGTTGTGGATAAAACATCGACGTTTTATAGACCACACAACTAATTAATCAATCAGTCAAACAACAGATTAATCAACAGTGAAAATAATTAAGTTGCAGCTCAAATGTAATTATTTACCTTTACTACTATATTAATTTTTTTGCAATGTGGTAAACAAAAGTTCACTTAACAGCTTCAATCATTTCTTCTTCCTTCCTCCATTCATTCGCGTCACCATGTCGCCCCCTGGTGGCTGTTTGGTAGCAACTAAACTACACTGAACCGCCTCAATACTGTTCAGAGTGACAAGTCTATGGCTAATTCTATTCATTAGATCAGAAAATAAAGACAATACAATACATATTTTGTCCTGCTTTGTTCATCGGAACATTAATTCTTTCATAAGAAGGAAACAGGAAGTTTGAAGTAAATGTAATAAAACCTACAAAATGTGACTATTTACTAATCTTACTTCAACCTTAATGCAATAAAATGATCTATTTTCTCTAAAGACGACAAGGTTTAGTTGGGATTGAGAATAAAAAGCTGCCACACACACACACACACACACACACACACACACACACACACTGCGAAGGAGTAAACACATATCCAGCATGCAACAGAAGTGAGCCAGCCTCTGGGGAATATTAGTCAAAGCTGGTAGCAGCACTAATCAGAGCTGCTGTCCTTCTAAAATGACACAATCCATCTCTGAAAAACAGACGGCAGCTGCCTCAGACTCAGTTGATTAATAACCTCTGTGTGTTAATGGAAATCAGAGCTTCTATAACATACACTGCTAAAGATGGTGCATAAGGTCACACACATAATTAATGCACTCCTGCTTTTGCTTCGGCACCAAATTGCAAGATTACACTTTGCTAAAATGCATGAAAAGAAGCCTGATGAACGTTGGAAGAACGTGCTCTGGTCAGATGAAGATAAATGTGTTGGGCTCAGATGGAGTCCAGATGTTTAGTGTGAACCTGACCAGGACCACCACAGTGGATGCATCGTCCTGACAATGAAGCACGGAGGTGGCAGCATCATGATATGGGGCTGCATGAGGGCAGAAGGTGTTGATGACATTTATAGATGAATGTCTGAGGATAAACCAAACTAGATGACTCCCAGTCTGCAGAAGCTTTAGGAAGAGGAATATTCCAGCAGGAGAACCATCCAAAGTACAAATAAAAAACTACAACCTGGATGTATGGAAGTATACGGCCTGACTTGAGTCTTTTAGAACATCTTTGGAATATTTCAAAAAGAAAGGTAGAGCAACACAAATCCTCCAAATGCTAAAAGGTGATACAGATGTCAGTCATTCGACATATAAGTGATATCGTACTCACTTCTGTTGTAAACTATATATGTGAACAGACTCATTCATGTACATACAAACACACACAGTAAGTACACCCTGTGAAAACATGTGAAGATCATTAATAGCAGTCAGGTTCAGTCGATCACACATGCAGGTGCTGAGGGATAAAAACAAACTTCCGTCATGACTGAGGTCCTCATTGAATACAAACGTCTGAAATACCATTGACTTGATTTTAGGGGGGGGGGGAAGCAAATTGGAGTCGTACAGGAAGCACAGAGTCACCTGTCCTCTGTCATGTGACCTCCATGACATGGGATCAGGTTGTTATGGTAACCAAATAGAGCGGGATCGGGACGGTAAATGTTAGGGGAGTGTACTGTTGTTATGGGGAAATGAGTAAATATAGACCTGAGATGAGAATGACATTGCAGACTGTATCAATCGGTTAGACATGAATAAAAAACAAGTGATGGAGAGTCCTGACTGTCAAAGGGCAGAGCGGAGGAGGAGCCTTTCAGGAAGTAGAAATTAACACTTTCTTGGTTGATCAGCGGCCAAAAACTCAAGAATACACTTCATGTGAAATTGTGTGATTATGAAAAATACAGCCGGTGTGTTAATAAACAGGACATCAAGCTGTATTTGTTCATATCATTTTAAACAAATAAATTTTAAAAAAAGAGAAGCTGGGCCCACAGTGCCGGCTGTAGCGCCGTTTGGATGAGATGGGAAAGGTTGTGGTGACTGACAACCCCCTCCGAGGCAGCCAGTCGGATCAAAACCAGCACAAGCAACGCTCGAGCAAGCTTCTGCTCACCTGCTGTCCCATTCGGGATAGAGGGGGAACGCAAGAGGTATTTCAGAAGAGGGGTACACACTCACAAACACACACAGCACACATCCATATGCTCGCAGTGGCGCCACGCCAAAGCAAGCAGGTTCAGTACACAAACACATTTTAAGACGAGCACCGGCAGGATTTCTGCAGGAAACTGACAAACATACACAGTCCGACTTACAACCTATTTTCTAATCTTAGCAAGCAAGACATTACATAAGACATTACTGCTGAGACGCTCAATGAAGTTATATAAACAAGGAGATGTGGAAAATAAACCTGGGCTGACTCCTAGTGGTGAATCGGTGAACTACAATAACACTCCAGTGGATGGAAATAGAAGATCAGGGTGTTTTCACATCGGTTGCACTGGTGCTCCTCACATTCTCATCAGGCCTTTTGGCACTGAATCACACTCATCAAGCGTCTTTGTCAGTTCTTACACACATTAGTAATTCCTTAACACATTATGTAAATAATTGTAAACAAGAATAAAGGTGCAGATGAATGTTTTGTTCCTTCCTATAAGGACGATCTAGTCAAAGGTGGCTCTTCTTCTGTTCTGTTATATTCTACGTGATAATTTATGACTCCTCGTTGCTTTGTTTCGCTGCTGCCTGATGCTGCAGTAAAAGCTCTGTTCCCACTCATGCTGTGGCCACAAGCTTTGCAATAAACACCTCATGTTGGATGTTTCAGCATATCTCAGTGTTTCCCACAGGTTGAGAATTCACTCGTGGTGGTGGGTGGCTTGGACGGAACGATGTGCCTGCAGACATTTATGCAGTTTACAGAGGGAAAAGTGTAACCCAGTTTGTTTTCTGAAACTGAAATTTACAGATGCCTACTAAATGGTTCACATGCAAACGATGATAGATCTGCAATTTACATATGTTCCCTAAACGCCTCACACGTGTCCTTAGGTGTGACAGTTCTCCAATGTTCTCTAAAAACCTGAGATGCATCAGTAGCCACTGTAATTTCCTGAAGTCTCCGAACAAGCATCAGTAGACTAGACCGATGTTCCCTCTAGTATGTATCAATAGACGCCACAATTTACTGATGTGCCCTAAACGCCTCACATGCATCAGAAGACGCAACAATTTTGCTCATGTTGTGTAGAAATCAAGAATGCAGCACTAGTTTCCACAATTTACTGTTCGGCAAAAATCAAAGACGCATCAATAGAAGCCACATTTTACTGATATTCCTTAAAAATCTAGAATGCATCACCAGACACTGCAATTTACTGATGTTCCCTAAATGCCTCACATGCATTGGTAGATGCTACAATTTGCTGTTGTTCCATAAAAGGCAAACATTAATCAGTAGACACTAAAATTTACCAAAGTTCCCTTACATGACTTGATAGACACAGCAATGTACCAATGGTCCCTGAACGCCTCACATGCTTTGGTGGATTCTACAATTTACAAATGTTCATTAAATGCCCCATGTACATCGGTAGACAACACAATTTACCACCGTTCCCTTGAAATTTAGGATGCATCATTAGACGCTGCAATTTACTGATGTTCCCTAAACGCCTCATATGCTTTGGTAGATGCTACATGTTAATGATGTTCCCATAAGATTCATTAGTAGACTCTACAATTTACCGATGTTCCCTAACAATCAGACATGCAATGGCAGGCGTTAAAACTTACCAATGTTCCCTAAACGCCCCCACATGCGTCAATCAACTCGATAATTTACCGTCATGCCCCAAAGATCTGAGACACATTAGTGGATGTTACAATTTACTGATGTTCCCTAAACGTCTCACATGCTTTGGTAGATGCCACATATTACTGACGTTCCCATATGATTCATGAGTAGACTCTACAATATACCAATGTTCCCTAAACGCCTCACATGCATCAGTAGACGCTACAATTTTCTGACGTTCCCTCAAAATTTTAAGATGTATCGGGAGTGTTACTCAGGTTGTTTCCTGACGCTACAATTTACAGACGTTCCCTAAACACCTCATCAGTATACTCTTCTTGATGACTGTGCACCGAAAAGCCTCTAGTCTCCATTTAGTTACTGCAGCACAGCACATAAGACGAGTGTTTGAGCAAAAATTAGTTTGAGAAGAGGCAAATAAAGTGTTTTAATGTCAGATTTATCTCTATCCAGGTGTTGCAGGAGCACCAGTGAAACCAATGGAATTTGTTATCTGCACTGTACAGAATCGACCTATTTAAACTCATAAACACAGGAAAGTTTGAGACCTCTTACGTAAACAAACATTAAGATTATTAAGTGTATAAAGACTATAAAATTTTGTCACCAATTAATGGTTTTGAAGTTCATAAAAACGTTCACAGGTTTTGAGGAGGCAGGAGGAGACTTTTCATTTCAGTACATTTATAATTTGACGGTGACAAATTTGGACAAAAATAACTTACAGTCTGACTAACATCCGACTGGATTCTGTGATCTGATTCTGTTCTGATGACAAACTGAGTCACCGGCATCTGCGAGTGTCGACGTGACGGGGAAATGCACTTTCAAGCCAACTTACCCAATGTCGTCCATGATGCAGCCTGTCCAGCGGTCGTCGCACTTGCATTCGCCTGGGGGATAAAAACGTTGCATCAAAATGAGATTTAAAAAAAAGGTAAATCTCTAAGTCCTCGTTAGGGCTCAGCTGCATACCGTTGAGGATCCTCTTCTTGTCAGAGAAAATGCCGATGTTCTGTCCCAGAGACTGAGCCAGAGTTATGGCCATCTCGTCTGTTTTCCCGTACTGACGGAAGAAAGAAACGGCGGGAAGAAAAGAATAAGCAGAATATTAGATGAGTCCAGAGAAAAGAAACTTTCATAAAAGGAGGTTACGTAGGCGTTTCTGCTTAAAAAAATATTTTAATTAATTTATTAAGATGGAGGGCAGAGGGACCACATACTGTATGTTCATTAATCTGCTTCATGCACATTTTTTAAATTTTGCTTTTGTCTTCTAATTTACTATTCAGCTACCTCGCCCTTTGATGTGTATGAAACCCATCAAATAATTATAATTCTATGCTATTTTTCACTGCGATGCTGTTGTAATTGAAGGAAATATAAAGTTGTTTGTGAATTATTATGGCTCGTCTCTAATATGAAGTGTTCATCCTCATGA